TGCTTTGTTGACATTGTTTTCCAAAGAAAAGGTGGAATACTGTCGGGTTTGCTCGATCCTGAATACCTTCGGGCTTTCACACCCCCCCGCATCGTAATGAGCACCTCCATCTTTGGGAACAAAGGTGTCCTTGCTGGTCTTCAAATCGATGACTTTGACCATTTCCTCCGACGCGGGTCCCTTTTCGGGGGAATCTTTGATCAGCTTTCCGAGGTTTTCAGCGAGTTCCTAATCATCGATGTCATCCTGGCCTGGCATCTCTGCCGGCAAATCCTCCTCCAAGAGCGGCGCATCCAATGCAGCTGGATCGGGCGTTTCAGGAGCGTATTCAAGCCCCGGCATTACGCCATTCATGTGCAATAAGTGCCGTTCGACCATTGGAAAAGAGAATTCACCATCCGGACATTTGATCTGATTTACCCTCAAAGGAGCAATAGGTTGATCATAGTCCTTCTCCATCAAATCTCGCAAAGGAATAACGAGAAATTCGTGACGCCAAAGAAAGTCAGGATGGATGGGATACCCCAGAAATATTCCAGCCCTGGAAGTAGGTTCAAACTTCAAAGGCTTGTTGGGTCGATTCCTCGGGCCGGTCCAAAAGTTGACTTGACAACCAAAGGGCAAATATGGTCCGGGAAAATCTTCTCCAAAACGTACCTTCCATGGTGAATGATAATCTGGGTGGTCCGTGATGTTATGCGCCATGCAATAGTGTTTGGCCGCATGTGGCCAATACGAATGATGCAAACCAGCTTGTTCCAGGTTGGTCCTCGTGCCCTCGATAATCGCCCTGACGTTCCTCTCAGCAATAGCATTAGTTTTGGAAATGTAGTTTGTACTTTGAACATGCTTCCATTCCAATTGATCCGCCGCTTTCACAAGTTCAGGAGCCCGATCACTGTAAAACACGTTCACGGTTTCCCCGGTGCGGACAAAGTGCTTGAATGCCATCACACACTGATGAGAGGTTTTCCGTGCTGCTGGGTAAACATAACGGAAATCAGTGGCAACATCTCGAACCACAAGTGCAACTCTAGATTGATCAATGCCGATTTCACGATCATCTGATGTGATAAGATGGTCCGCCGTAAGGTGATCACCAAACTTCTTGGCCTCGACTTGAGTGGAACCTCCCTTCTGTTTTGATGGATATTTGTACATCTTCGCCCTGTTACAAGTCTCGCAAAAGGGGTTCTTGGGAGTGTGACACATCAAGTGCTGGAGTGAGGTCGCCTCATCACGCAAAGCTGCTTCACCGCGTTCGCGAGGGGCGTCCTTCAAAATAGGCTTTGACACAAAATCGGAAGCGATGACCTTAGGCGCATCTTCGGAGGGATTGTCATGGCACTCTTCAATGACCTCACCTTCCGGTTGGCTAATGGTGTCCTCAAGCAAGAAATCATCGTTCCCCAATTCATCCCCATCATCCTCATTGGTCACAAGCACCTCTTCAACAGCTTCCGGTTCCTCGTCAATGACCAGAACTTCATCCTCAATTTCAATGGGAGCTGATGGTAATGATGTAACCTTTGGAATGCTCTGTGACAAAGCTGGAACAGCATTTTGAGTTGCTGGGGGAATGAATGGAACATTGTCTTTGACCTCGAGCTTGATACGTGAACCATCCGGAAGTCGGAAATAAGGTCTGCTGTGGGCTCTCCAAACGAAATCATATCCGTCCCTGAGGCATCTCATACCCACGGATAACACGGATGGAGCCTTGTCAAGAACATATGGCCGAACAACACTATCGGTCTGTTGGATCTTGACCCTGGCCTGCTTGGTACCGATAATATTCCCATTGGCTGTGGAAAATTTCAGAGGTTGAGACGATTCGTAAATACACCCCATCTCCGCATCGGTTCCCGATAGCAAATCCTGAGAAGCTCCTGTATCTGCGATCCACGGAATGTGAGAAGAATCCATTGTCATACGAGCAACAGCAGCTTTCCCCTTTTTGGGAGAGGTCTCGGGCTTCTCTGGCTCGGCCGTTAGGCCTGCGGGGATGCAGGAATCACAGCCGAAATCAGAGTCGCATTGAAATTTGCAAGGAGTCTTCGTGCCTTTGAGCAAATCCTTCATCATAGCTTCATGCATGGTGCCGATAAGAGTTGCGTCAGAGACGGCTCTCTCATCGAACTTCGGAACATAATCAACAGGAAACTCGTGCGCAAACCTTCTCGACGATGCAGTGTATGGCCAAAGCTCGCCGTCAGTCTCATAGTTCGAAATGGATGGGTAATCAGAGAATTGCACGCACTTCTTGATACATGGCATACTCTGGAAAACATCGTGAGTCACACTAGGCAAGCAAGGATGCGAGGCGACCGAGTCGAGGGTCGCGGCGCACACCATCGCCTGGAGGAGGCACACCGCAGCATTGCTGCCTTTTGACGATCGCGGAGACTTGAGGGACTGAGAACCCTTCGAGTCTTTCGAATCTTGAGAAGAAGGCCTGCTTCCCTTCTTCTTCTTCTTTTTCTCTCTCGGCGATGTCTTGGGGGTGTCTCCACTAGCGGTCTTCTCGGCCTTTGGGGCTGGAGCTGCCTTGGAAGTTGCGGGGTGCTGCCATGGGCAATCTTTCCCTCTCTCACATCTGCTCGCTTTGAAGAACTTGCACACCTGGGGCTTCGAACCAGGGGGACTCTGCGAACGATACTTCCTTGGCGTCTGGGGTCTAGATCCGCCCTTCTTGCCTTTCCCCTTACCTTTCGGTGCCTTAACATGTTCGAATCGGCAGTCTGAACCATAGGTGCACTGGCCAGTTTGAAATTTCACACATACACCCTTGGGGATTCCAGGAACTGCAGGGTTGTTCGATGGAGTCCTGCCACGTCCCGTTGTGTTGCTTGACATAGCATCCCGCATGTGAACAAGCCTCTTGCGCTCCAAATAATTCCTCGATGCGTCAATCAAGAATTTATAGGAGTGCTTTTCCGTCCCTTCCTCAGCCCGCTCATACTCATTGAGATCATGACTGAGAGGCCGAAACTTTCGAATCTGGCGGTGGAACAGCGCTTCAAGGGTCTTCTCATTTTGCTCATTGCCCATTCCAGCGATGACCGTGTCCCATCTTGTCATGAAGTTCTTGAGGTCCTCGTTGATGAGCTGGACAGAGAGCAAGTCCTCAAAGTCGTAAATTGCACCATGTTTGATGTTCGTGCTGAAGTGCTTGTGAACCATCAAAAGAATTTGGCGCCCCCTCGCGTAGCGTTTCTCCTTTGCTTCTTGTTCTTTGAAAATGTCGACTTGCCGCGCGAGGTCGCCCTCCAAGATATTCGTCAACGCCGATGCCAGCTTTGCATCAAGATGGACAAACATTCCTGAATCACGAAGGACTTCAACAGTTTGACCTGGGATCCAAGTTGCCTCAATCCACTCAAATGCCTTTTCGGGTTGGTCGGAAGTAGCAACAACAGCATCCCTAACTTTGATCCTCCAATTACGGTACTGTTCGGGCTTCGGGAATCGGGGAATCTGAATTCTGTCACCCTCCTTTACACGAACGCGTTCCGCTGTCGGATCGCTCGAATTACCTAAGTGCTTCAGTAGCTTTCGTCGAAAGGATTCATCCGATGCAGTTGAAGTTGATGACGAAGATGACGAGGGAGAAGATGATGGATCTCGTCGCCGGCGTCGGCTACGGTCCTTCTTCTTTTTCTTCTTCTTCTTCTTTTTCTTGTCCTTGTCATTTCCACCATCACCATCATCGCAAGGCCAACCGTCTCCGGTAGCAGCATCGTCCACGGCCCCGGCGGGAACGGATCCGTCTTTGCCGTAGGGGTCGCTCCCGACCTTCGTCCAACTGTGCGAGGAAGCATTCGAAAGTCCGGGTGGAGATGCAGCCAAAGGAACGGTCGGGATAGCCAAGGGGGTAGCTGGTGCCTGCTGAACGGGAGGCGCAGGGGCTGGAGCAGGTTGAGCAGGCGGTTGCTGCTGATTTTGCATCATCTGCTCGACCATAGCCCTTAGCTCCCTGATCTGCTTCTCCTGCTCGCTGATCGTGTTCATGGCGTTTTGGTACTTCATCTCGGCTTCTCTTTACGATTTCATGGTGTTCACACGCTGCTCCGCATTCAGTTGAATCTCGCGTCTCATGGCCTCCGATTGGCTTTGAAGTCCGGCAATAATCTCACCATGCCTTGCCTCCGCCATCTGGGCGACCATGGGACCGGTGTCCTGATTCACGAACTGGTTGAATTGGGCATTGTTCTGGGTAGCGTTGATCTGCTGATAGTTCGTCACGTCCTGGTTGATCGTCATCGAAGGATCGAGGTGGACGTTTGCAACATGTTGGTTGAACTGATTCATGGACTGTGGCATAGGGTTTCCCCTTGCGAGATCGGTCTGGGGGTCGTACATGACGATGTCACCATGCCGATGCCGATCTGATCCAACAGGTGAAGGAGATCGAGCACCAGACCGCCCAGTCCTCCCACGGTCACTCCGGGATCGAAGTGATTCGGGGCCCTGACTGCTCAGTGCTTGTCCCTTCCTGATGAGCTCCCTGGCCACTTGGGAGTTTGCTCGACTAGTCGGTTCATATTGCGAGGCGTCTTCATCGCCTGCGGGCTCATCAGGTGTGGGACGCACCTCGGTATGGGGTAGTCCAGGGTCGCCATCCATGGCATACAACTCTGTACAAAGAGCCGCTTACGGCTGATAACCTATAGAACAGGTTAAACAACCGGGAAAGGTCACAAATGAACCCTGTACTCAGCGCGCTTTTTCCTTGAGCCATACGCAGTCGTAATGATGAGACTGCGCAAGTGAGACATTCATGCATTGGGGTTTTACCTGGTTGATAAATACATCACGTTGCAAACTACAAAGAGCTCGAGAGAGGAGGGAGAGACACCAACAAACAATGAGTAAGACCCAATAATATAAGCAATGATGTCTTGTTTTCTTCTTTTCTCGGCTTGTCTCAAAGGATTGGATTGCTGTGCGTAGAAAAATCCATGTTGGTCAGCATTGGGAGTCCGGACTCAAGCCAAGGCTCTTGGAATGAGGAAGCCAGCAACCAGCTGATGGTGTTGTCGCGACTGAGGCTGAGAGTAGATGCCCCCCCTAACCGCTGCAGCAGCCAGCTTACAGCAAAGCACATGTGCAGTCGGTGCTGACAAAAAAGCGGCACCTGCCACCATTAGGAGTGTTGCCCACACACAGCTATCTAGTGTCTACAGCACCTCTCTGTCCCCTGTAAGGCAGCTGGACCGCCTGGCATCATACTGCAACTCGACCCGCTCTGAGTCGGTGAAATAAGTCTTGGGCACCTTTGCAAGTTGTGGCACCATCCCAATTCCCATTTGGCACGCGACACGCTGTTTCCGAGGGGCGTAAAGCATGATCCCCTCGCGCTGCGCCAAACGGCTCAGAAATCGCGACAGCCTGAGCTCGTTCAGTGCTTTGCTTTGGGCATAATACACATGCCTGCCCGCCAACGTTCAGCAAATTAATTTAGGCTCTTGGTATTTCCCTATCCACCCAAGGGCTTTGGGTGCCCATTTGGATCCCAAATAAGCCACCTCAGGTGCTGGCGGCTGCGGCGGCAGCTCAATGCCCGTCATGAGAACATCGAAGAGGACATAGGCACGAATAGCGAGGCCTTGGTCTGAGGCGCGGGGCGGTGTGGCACCCAGCGACGGATGGGCCGATAGAGGAATCAATCAGCCTGAGAGTCAGGCGCTGCCGGGCCGTAAGGTCACCTCGCGCCGGCCAAATAGTAGACTCTAGTAGACCCAAAGCAGACCCAAGTCAGATCTCTCTGCTGCAGCAACCCTCCCCCCACCCCCATACCTGCGTCCAGCAATCTCAAGCTGTTTTCGCGGGAAGGCGCCAACTCCAGGCCTGCGACCGCGGAGATTTCACGAGACAATCGGATGACCAACAATAAGGGTCTGATTGAATTTTTAATAAAACGTATCAAAACGCTTTGTTTATCGCCAATTGTGATCTGACAAATATTTCATATGATCTTACTTCATCTCAGTGACAGGTGAGATCCATGTCAAGTCTTGCGCTTGATGCAAGCCCTGGAGTCTTGCCTCCGTGGCTGTCAATGATCAAGGTCCGTGCGAAGATTCGAAGAGCGCGGGAGAGCCAGGAGATGCAATTTCCTTGAAGTGGCAGTATTGTCAATTGTTGTAGTAACATGACTGAAGTTCATCCTGCTGCAAAGCAGTAATTACTTGGCTAGAAAGACCCATGGCCATGAAATAGCCTGCCGTCAAGGCTCGCATCTGCATTTGGCATGTGTCCTGCAAAGCCATGCTGAAGCAACTCCGATGTGTTGCGAGCCATCCATTCAGCATGAGCCCTTGCAATGATTCGGTCCTCAAAGTGTGTCTGCATTTTGCTGGCCCAATCTCTGATGGTCTTGAGCCCGCTCCTTGCGATGCAGCTCGCCATGAGAAAGCCAAGGGCAAAACGTCCAAAAGGGCTAAAGGGCCAAAGGGCCAACCGCCCGAAGGCAACCCTGAAGTGTTGCACAAACTCTGAAGAGCTTAGACTGAGCGTCTTGTGGACATGCTCTGCGAAGAGGACAGCCAGGATGTACGGGAACAGCCTTCGAGCTTTCTCAGCACGAGCATGGTGCGAGCTTGGCAAACAGACAATGACCACTTGCTCGATTTACCTGCCAAAGCCCTGAGACCGAGGCTTGGATCGCACGTTGGCCAATGTGCTGTCGCGTCGGCTGGCCTGAATGCGTGGAAACGACATGAAGCTTATCTCACCGAGATGCACCAAAAATGTGAGGTATCAGTCCTTCGCTTGTCCCTGGAAAATCTTGCAAGCGCACAAAGAATCTGGCACGGCTTGCCCCTGACTTGGCAGTGTTTGTAGTTTGTAAACATGCATCCTTAAACATATGCACGAAAGCACAAGCCAAAGTCTGCAAGCGGTTCTAACCATGAACCTCTCAGGAAACCTGCGGCTCACGCAAAGGATCTGAAACCTGTGGGGACCGTAACGCCACATCCAAAACTCGTTGAAACCGCAACCCCGTTGCCCAGTGACAGGGAAGAAATGGCGGCAACGCCAAGGTCAACATGCTTGGACTGACGTCACCATGGCCTTCACCTCCTCCTCGGCCCTTTGACGTGCCTGCATTGCCGCCTCAAAAGGTTGAAGGCAGCAAATGATCTGATGCCTTCAAATCAAAGGGCCAAAAGGGGCCCTTCGCAGCCCAGCTCAGTTGTTCCTTCCACTTAACAAACAGGCCTTACAAGTTTGAAGCGTGTTTGAAGTCCAGGCGTTTGGATCTTGAAATTCTACTAATTAGCAAATGCTGTCCTTCGGTTTTCCTTCAAGAGTTTCAGAACTCACACTTGCCAGCTGGAAAGTGCAAAATGCGCAAATCCAAAAGCACGCCACCCAGTGCAACGAGCAACGACACACGTGCCTTCGATCCCCTGCCCACAGAGTAAAATTGCTGGACATTTTCATCATCGAAATCCAAAAAAACAACAAACACAACCAGCTATGGTGCAATTTGAAAAGAAACGAAAGCTGGTTCGCTCGCTCAGGTGCTTGCCCGGGCGGCTTAACTTGACAATGAAAAAGGAAAATAGCTTCAAACAAAAAAAAACTCACAAGAGCCAAGGGGCTTGAAGCTTGGATAGCTTTGGTTGACCATCGTCCTCCATTGTGTCCTCGGCTTGGGGAGGCAGCCCTTCTCAGCGAATTTCGGCTGGGAGCTCCTTTTGCCAAGGCTCCATGCTCGCCCTGGTGTCTGCACTGGCTCGGCGACCCGGTAGCCTGGTCTTGCGTTGCTTTTCTGTGAAGCCCCATCTCCCAAGCCTTGCTACTTCAAGTCAATCACCTGGACCGTAGGCTGGAATGCGAGGTGACAGGTGGTGAAAACTACTCAGGCAAAGCCCGCCGGTGTCGCCTACTGCTTCGTAAACATTTATCCTGAGGCTTGCCAAGGCACCCACTTTCTGCAACACCCTCCATGCCACCAGTGCCCTCCTCCTGCTGCTCCACCCCAATGACAACCTCTGCGAATTCCCAGCTTGTGGCAAAATCTCAGCTGGCATCCGACATCACGCCAAACAAGTGCAGAGTGCAAGATAGCCTCATCTGAACCAGACCTCTATGACCGCAGCCCCTGCAGCCCCATGCCCGCACTCAAAGCTCTGTTCTGCGCAACTTGGCTCAAGTCACCACAGGATCCCTTGTACAAACTTCCTGTGAGCAAACGTTACAAAGCTCCTTCACCGTCACGCCAAAAGTCTTGCAGCCCAGACCTTTAAGGGCAATCAGAAGTCCCGCCAAACAATCGGACAAAAGTCATCCACCGGTGTCTGGCTGACGGATACGTGGAACTCGCCTGCGGGGGCCACGAGGGCGGCGGCTTTGCCAGCTCCTCCTGCGCCTCAGGTCTGTGCCCCACGGAGGATACCCCCAAACACAAACAATGGTACCCTCTTTCCACTGGAAGTGGGCGAGAGTGTTTTGAAGGCCATCCTTTTGGAGAAGGGTAAAGGCCGCCATGTTCCAATGGAATGTTTTGTGGTTGAAAGTAACTTGTCACCCTGAGGTTAGAGAAGATTGAGGTTTGCTGAAGGGCACCGGACACAGCAACTTCATGGAACCCGCAGCAAAGCTACCTGCAGAGTGGTCGGTGGGTTCTGTGATTCTCCAACTCGCCCTCTACAGAGCCTACAGTCGTGGCCAGATTTACTTCCAACACCTCTGAATCATATATCGCCCTTGCCTGGTGTCCTCCCCATATTTCCCCTTAGAAACATCACCCCTGCCAGCCAAAAAAAGGGTCAATGTCTAAACCCATCCCCGTTGAAAGGGCGCCTCCTTCAGGTTATGAATTATTCAATGGGGTTTGCTCTCTTGAGTCATGACGCCTCAGAGTACCAATCCGGCAAGTCGATGGTGACGTTGAACTCTGGGATCTTCACCTAAGACTCAAACCTCCGATGGTCATTGGGATAATCCGCCCTTTTTTGGGCTGGCTGATGTCCAAAAGAAACCTTAAATACTAGGCTTGCCAACACAATAAGTGAACGTGCCTCCTTTGGTCCTGCATGGTGCCAGCTCAGCTGGTAGGCAAGCCACGGCACAACTCGCCTAGGCCGCCTGCATCCCAAACAAGCCCCTAACCCCAAAAGTGTTCGTGCAGTGGGTCCGGCTCAAGCCTGCCAATGTTCCAAATAAGCCAGGCAGCTGTGCCGTCGTCAAGCCCATCAGATGAAGCAGTCAATGGCCTTCCGTCTGGTGCAAGCCAACTCGATGGACAATTGTTTGGACTGACCTGCATACCGTAGTTGCACTACGAAACAAGAAATCACATGATGCTATTGCTCTGGCGTTCCTGTGTTGGCTGGACTTCTTGCAGGTGCCAAGGCTGCACAAGTAAGCAAGCAACTGCCGCTCAAATGATATCCATGCTTCCAATGCAAATCATGGCGTCACCAAGCAAGGGTTGCTTTTGAGGTTGATTCTGACCCTCAGGGCTGCGACGGTTGAAGTGGCGCATCCGCGCAGCAAAGGCAACACAAACATGGTCAAAGATGTCAAAGGATTATGTTCCTTTGCAAGGGACTGCCCTTTGAAAATTAACCCCCTTGAAAACTCCTCTGCCCTATGAATGTGTTCCGTGTGATCGGGGTTTGGAACTCAGGAGTCGGCACATGGCCTAGGGATCGTCACCAGCACTTGCCGCGTGCCGTCTGGCAAAGGCGGCGGCAGAGGGGGCGGCGGACCCGTGTTGATGATCTCCTGGCATTGCATGCGGCTGCTGCTTCCCTGGGGGTCTCTGGACCGGACAGATGCTTGGAGGCATAAAGGATTGCAAAGAGGAGTTCTGAAAGGATTTTCGAAAGGATGCAAAACACAAAACAACATTGTTTCTGCGTTCTGGACAGCGCAAGGCCGCGAGACACGAGCCCTTGCCGCTCGCCTTGCGGGGGCTCCGAGCTTCAAGCCTGGGCTCCCTCAGCACCTGGGCCTCCTCCTCTGCCTGCCGCGTTTCTCTGCGTTTTGGGCCAAGTTGGGCTCCGCCAAGGGGCTTTCAGATCGAAGGGTGAAAATGGAGCCAACAAAGGATTTTAGGCACATCACAACAAGGGAGACACCGAACAATCTGGCAAAACGATTAAGGATTGATCTTCAGCAACCCAGGTTCTAAATCCCCCACGTTGGCGTCCTTGCTTGGGGGTTTCCTTTAGCCCAAGGCAAACACACCCTTTTCCTTTACTGCTCCCACACATCTACGCCATAAGCCCCGCGTTCTCTCATCTTCAGGGCTTACAGCCCACAACAGCCCCTCTTCCACTGCCAGCTTTGAAATGGGTTGGTGGGTAAACAGTCTGAATCAAGACAAGTGGAAGTGCGCTCGGGCGACTTGGTAGTTGCCATAGCTTTGGCGTGAATCCTGTCTCCCCAAACATGATGCGGATAGGTCTGAAATCCAAGGGTGCGATCCGATAGCTCAAGGGACAATGTGTCCTTTTTCCAAGCAATGACCGAAAAAGCCTCATGGGACAGCCAGTGCCGAGGCTTGCCAGTGTAAGGCTGGCCACAGTGGTCGGCGCTTGGAAACCTCCAGTTTTGTTGCTCACTTGCTCGTTTGCTGTTTCTTCCTTTGCGATCCATCCCTGAAGGCCACCTAGCCTTCCCCCTGTGCTGCCAAGGGGCTGGGCTGGAGCTCCGAGGTTGCAGCTCCTCTTTCTTGCTCAGCCCTCGCTGTACTATCCTGATTGGGGTGGCTTCTCCCGGTCTCAAATCTCAAAAGTTGCCCGGCGAAGCAGGGTGCTGAAAGGAACCCCCAAATCCACCACATCAAACGGGGATCCATGGGATCCATCTAATGGCTTGAACGATTTCCCAAAGGGTTAAATCATCCTGGGGCACAGGTCCCATGGCTCAAAGCGCCGGCCTTCGCTCGGGTTCTGCGCCGAACCTTGGCCGCAACGGGCTGCGACATCTGTCTTGGGATTTTTTGGTTTTCCTCCGGTACAAGCGATGCGCTTGAAAACTCGTGGAATTCACGGCAAAGTTGTGACCACGCCGCATGTGCGAAGCACCTGCCAGTAGCCTGTATCATGTATCAGATTTTTTGGAAGGCCGAGGCACGAGCGCGGCCCTGACACAGAGCCAGGCATCGGGCTCTGCATAGGCCCAGATTGCATAGGGCCAGGCTGCATTCCAAAGCCAGGTTGTTGCATTGACATGTCCTGCTGCTGCATTGCCTTCGATGCAAGTGACAACCCACCCCTTCCCAGCCCAAACCGCGGAGCATTGAGCCAAGCAGCTGGCATCATCTGCTGCATCTGTGGCATGGGCGGCTGCATTGGAAACTGCATTGGCATCATGGGCTGCATCATGGGCATGTTGCCCATGGGGCCTCAAGCGCACAGCGGGGAGCGGAACTCGATCAGCCTAAGAGCGACTAGATGCGCCTAGCGATAACTAGCGCAGTCAAGCTTCCGAACGGCGTCATCATGTTGAAAGGCATCCTTAGTTGGCATGTCGCTGCTTCTGCAGCTCTTGACAAGAGGCGGGGTACTCAATCAGCCAGGCAACTGCATGCCGAAGGGAGGCATTCCTTAGTGGGGTCCACGAAAAACCGTGACTGACAAATATGATGGCAAGCTCTGGCACCACAGGACTCTATCTCCCGATAGACTCGCTTTGTGCAGCCATGCTTCCCATACCAGGCATCCCCATGCCCATGCCGAAACCGCCGAAGCCGGCTTTCCCGCCTTTGCCACCTCCGCCTTTCCCGCCTCCTTTCTTCCCGCCCTTCCTCATCCATGGTGGCAGCGGCTGCCCAATGCCATCCCCTTGGCTCGCCAAACTCACCTCGCCCGAAAGCTGGATTTTATGTCCAAGCATTGCTGAGTCAAGGGAATTGGCAGGCGCAACCTGGTTGGAGAGCCGGATGAATTTTGAATCTTTGCCACATACTTCAGGTGCTCGAATGGCCCCAACAAAAACCAGCCGCCGCTTTGTGTCGGTCGAAGTGAAAAGGCAAACTTTAAGTCAATTCTATTTCAGGACAAGCCCACTCAAAACAACAGGCTTGTATCTGCCATGTCCCTGGCATATGACATTTCACTCATGTTCTGGACGCATTGTTGAAGAATCTGCGCTGTTCCGGCCCGATAATTGGCGGACACAAGTCCCAATGCAACTGATGTCCACCAAAGGGTCCCGAATGGTGCCAGGAACGAGAACAACTGTGATAACAACAAGAGAAAGCATCCTGTGCCGAGGGTCAACGGACACCCTTAACACCCTTCTGCCAAGGTGCCCTTCTTTCCTTTCCCCTTGCCTCCCATGGCTCCCTTGGGGAGCGGGAGGCCACGTGCTACCCTTTGAGCCTCATCCTGCGCGCCGGTGTCCTACTGGCTCTCCAGGACTTCGCCGGGATATCCAACAAATCAAAGCCCATCCCGTGCAAGCAACCTGATGCACGTTCTGGAGGCACGTGGCTATTGCATGGCATCGCGGAACGGGTGTTTTGCCTGTCGCCATCGCATCGAAGCTCATGCCGCCATGGGAAACTCAGCCACCTTCTTCCAGCTTGGAACTCCTTCCCACCCGTCTGCCGGATGATCTGTTTCCTGAGGGCGCACAGCAAGCTGGGCTTCAACATCCAAGCAGCATTCTCTGGAGGACTCTGCATGTAGAAAGCTAAGGCTGCTTCAGAGTTTAGCTGGAGGTAGCCGGCTTGTGATTGGCTGTGCCAACCCTTTGCACCATGCAAACAAAGGACCGAGGTCGAAGGCAGAACAACACACGGAACCTACCTGGGGCTTTGGGTTTTGACTCTGGCCCTGGGTGGAAGATTTGCGATTGTCAGCGGGGGCATGCATCCTCCGCCTAGCTTACCATGGCTCACCTGGGTGAATTTGGGCAAGCATAGTGTGAGAGGGAAAGCCAAAAGGCCCCGAGAATCGATGTCTGACAACTGAGTACATTCAAATGTTGAATGCCGCGGTTCCAAGACGTTTGTGCTTTGAGGTGATGGCTTTCGCCAAAACCAAGAGACATTTGCCGCTTATAAGGCTCCCCAGTTTAGAGAAACAGTCGCTTTGTTTAAGTCCAAACATTATATGGCACACACACAATGCGACTGGCAAAGGTTGGCCAGCAACGAGGTGACTGCCAGCCTCACCACCAGCGCAGCACAATAAGAAAAAGAGAAACCTGGAGTCTGGAGTCACCCTCCCACTCTGATGGCCCAAACAGCTCCATCCAAGCGTCGTACAGAACCAAGTGAGACGCTGTGAAGCTCCAGCCATCGGAAAACCAAGGAGCTTCTTGTCGCACCCATGCTTCCGCTTGCTTTCTTTCCTACAGGAAGGCGCCACGAGCCATAGGTTTGGAATCAACCACAGGAATATCAACATATGGGTTTGGTTTGGGACACATGTGGGAGGAAAGCCTCGTGGACCAATTCGCTGCAAAACATGTTGCAGATCAACCCCTGCAATAAATATTCCAGCAGCCACAGCGGGTCAGGGTGTACCAGGTCCTGAGCTCTAAAGGTTGAACATCCAAGGAAGGCCCCGGAAACATGTGTCAGAACCCATTGTTTGAATAGGGGTGGCAACAGGTCAATCCTCAGTTCCGAGCGGTTGCAAAAAGGGAGTAGCAAAGCTCCCGTGCAGCATGCTAGCCACCACCAAAATCTTGGCTGTTTCATGGAGCATGCAGCATGACTGAACGTGAGGGCTGCCGACTACTACCCCAGAAATGTGGGAATCGTCACGGCAAGCCACTGCTGCCAGTTCTACATTATTCCTTTATGTTGACCCTGGATTGAATTAAGCTTCTGAGGTGCTTCCCCACAAGTGTTATATCCCCTATAAAATGGGGCCATCCAACAAACCAACCAACTAACCAACCTGTTTTTTCGATACACAAGGAGGTAGGGTGGAAACAAAGGCTTCGCTTGCCTAAATATTCCACTCTCAACAAGATTTCTTGAAGGATACCACGAAGAAAATAAGCTGGTAAAACCTTGTTTCCACCCTCGCAAATGTATCCCTCAAGGAACCTGCTCAATCGAGCGCTTCCGTCCACAGTCCACCGACACCGGCGCTAGAAACTCGCACCTCCAAAGGCTGGGGCCCATAGAGGAGCGAACCATGGGGCTGCCTGCTGGGCGCTGCAAAGTTCGCCTCCTGTCGGCGAGCTACTCAACCCTTCGCTAGAAGAGAGCGCTTTTTTGGGATGACCGTTTCTTGTTTTCTGTGGGGTGTTGCTGAGCAAACGCCTAGACTAGTCACAGGGTAAGGCAAAACACATTGTTTTCCTGCGCTGACGGGTCTTTGAACTGCTGGACTGCCGCCAGGTTGGCTGCTCTCAGCTTTGGCCCAAGCTCCGCCAGCCTGGCACACGGACATGTCAATGACTCAAGCCACGACCAAATTGCCAACCCATCGGAAATGAGCAGCCAGCCATCAGGGTTGGCTCTAAATTAAGTCTGCGCGGCCTTGAAGGGAGCCACTGCATGAGAATGCTTCAACAAACGCGGCGTTCCAAACAAACATCGTGGCTCATTGCCATCCGAGGCACAGTAGCAGACTCTGATTCCACGTCTCGAACACGGCCAGAGACTCCTTGGGGAAGTGAACCTCAAAGGGCTCCAGCCTTGACGCCAGCCTCTGCAGCTCACCTTTCAGCGCCTCAGGGATGAGGCCAAACCGCTGCTTTCCTTTTGACTTTTGAGGGTTCCACGATTTGTTTGAAACGAGCATATGTGCGAAATGATTGAGGTGAGTGCCCCGCCCGTGCTTCCACGGAATGCGAGGTCCCAACCGGAACCCACTTCGTCCAAGGATCCAAGAGAATGGAGTTGCCTCCAACTGTGGGAAATCCCGAAGTCCCTTTGGCTTCCCTTAAGCAACAACCTGAACACGGTGCCCTTGATAAAACGCAAGCCCCGGCATGTATGGATTTTTGTGATCAAACTCCAGCCCTCCAACAACCAGAGGGTGTATGCATGCAACAATTTAATCAATGCGCTTGGATTTTCAAAATAGGGGACCCCAAACATGGTGGTTTTCCTTGTGGTTTCTTTGGAAAACCACCCCCCAAACAAAAACAAACTAGACCGCGCGCATCCCGAAAGCGTTTCTAATAAAGAACATGTCCAATCATGCCCCAGGCAGAGCTGCGCAGCAAGGGCCAGGTTGAGACGCGCTCTGCACCAAGGCTATGTTGAGACGCGTTATGATGTAAGGCCATGCTGACAGAGCTTGGCAAAGCAGAGCTGCGACGACAGGCGATGCCGGACTGGCGGGGAGTCGAGCCCGAAGCCGCCCGCTCCCAAGAGGTGGGGACTTCCACAGCCTGGCTAGCCAGGAAAGCCCAAGATTTGCTGGGATCGGGCGCCGGGAGGGCATCGTGCGTGTTGAAGCGCCCTCGCTGTGGCGCCTTCCAAGGTTTGCGCTGAGCAGGCCGCAGAGAAGAGCTAGCTGCGCATGCTACGCAAAGAAAGGGGTCTGTAGGTCAGAGCAGGGCCTATGTTGAGACGTGCTGTGCGGCCTTTTCAAGCCTTTCGGTTCCTTCGCTCTTTCGGGAAAAGGGTAGCCTAACAAACACACGCCCATGTACCCACTGCCCAATTCAAGGCCTCCAGGTCTGAGCTTTTGATGCCGCCCAGCAAGGTCACGTGAAAGTCGAAGGGGGGACCACGGAAGCGGTGGCTCACTTGGGCCACCAAACTGTCCAACTTCGTTTGCAAGTCCCCAGGCTGCGGCATCAGCCATACCTCATGCTTGTCTCATGGGGCTTCCTGTGAGAGCTCACAAAATATACAAAATGGGCTGCTTCTTTTTGGTTTTCTTGGTCCCCCGAAAAGACACACACACCCACATGCCATGGAAATACCCACCCCCAGCTGAAATGGAAACCAAACGAAATGAGTCTTGTGATGAACTAATTAAGAACCTGCAAGCCACAGAGTACTTGTGCTCCATTCGGTCCATCTGGCACCTCCATCAGCAACCGGACCGAGCTTGGAGCTTGGTGGTTTGGTGTAGGAACAAATCATGCTTCTTGCTGTATCAACGCGGATTGCAAACGCTTTTGTGAGAAGCGAACTGCAACCGCAAGAATCGGACCCCTGAAGAGGTGCTCCATGGTTGACTGGTGCTAAAATAAGCTCACAGCGATCTTTGAGACGAAAAGGCTGCACCACCCATTGTTCACCAGGTACCTACCACACTGTTGCTTAAGGTTGCGCGTCCTCAAAAGCCCTCTGCGCCCCAAGTCAGCCCAGTCGATGAATCACATGGTTGCTACCAGGGCCAAACCTGGGCCAACCCAACTGGAAACGTGGCGTAGCAAGCCGGGTGCAGCACAGGCGACTTTTTGTTGCGCTGATGCTGCTCACTGCGTCAGGAGAGATTCGCGCGCGCTGTCCTGCGCTTGGTGGGCGGGGTTTCCTCAAGGCTCTCTTGCGTTGCAGTGGGCTCCTGAAATGTTGCAAGTGGGGAGTAAAAACGGAGATAGTGTGCACCTTGCACTGCCAGCCACTTTCGTTGCCATTCATGCCGCACAGGTCGAGGCTCAAGCCCGCATCCCGCAAAAAAAGTGGCCTGACTTGCAAGCGGCCAAGCCTCGTCGAAGGACCTGGCAGCTGGCTGTTTGACCGAATCAAACGCTTTCTCTACAGCGAGCCGTCAAACCAGCAGGAGGCAAGTTTGCTGGGGCCGGATCTGGAACTACGTTATCCCCAGCAGTCTTCCATAGACGACCCTGGCCAGCGATCTGAGTCTAAGCTATAGCAGCCATCGTGACTACTTTTCTGTGGTCTCTTCCGACATGGGGACCTGGTGAGCATTCCGACTGTGGGCAGTCAAGTGCCACACTCCTCCCCTCACTTTGTACAAAGATATGAAACAGAATCATAGACCCTGGCCCTGCTGAGCCAACCTGCAAATGCTTTCCCTCGGTTGAAAAAGGAACCCCAAGAAGAACCCCCAAGGGAACCCCAAAATAAATAGTAACAACTCCCAAAGCTTTTGGAACAAACTCCAAGCCATCCCAAGTTGATTGAGCCTGGTGCCACCGGAACTCCACGTCCGCCTTCTTCGGCAGCCTCAGCTTAGGCTCTGAATCCAAGGCGTGCGCTCGTTTGGGGACTGAACTGGGAATAGGGTGGGGGGTTCCTGAGAGAAGGGCAGGACTCGCGCTCGAGGTCTGGGGAGGTCTGGTTTCGGTTTCGCCAGGGACCAGACTACCTGGAAAGGATTTCATGCATCGGGCTTGAGCCCACGCCTCGTACCGAGATCAATCCAGGTCGCAGGTGGCTGCGGCTTTCTGACTCTCAATTCTCAACACGGAAATCTTAAGGCCTCCTGAAAGGAACACGGAACACGCTCAACTTTTGGGGGGATCTTGCAGTAAGGTACTTTGCAATCAATGGTGGTCCGGGCGATTGGTTCATATCCAGTGGGCGAACAAAGGCATGGATGTCGCGCGCGGTAGCGCGCATCTAACAAGGAATGGCGAAGCAAGGCGTTCATGCCAATCTTCACTGGACCCGAGCGTGAGGTCTCAGATCGCTCTTGATGTCTGCGACTGAGCACTACGGCCCTGGCATGACCAACTGAAGCATAAGCAGCACAAGAAGCTGAGTGCCAGCGAGGCCGGAAATGCCTGCAACAGCCGTCCAGCTGCTCTCAACTTCCAAGTGTTCGGTCAAGCTGCCAACATGAAACACTCACCTGCAAACATATCGATTGTCTTGAGGAAAAAAACAAGTGGGGCCTGGTGCTGAATCGCCCTTCACATCACACCGGACTCTTTGCAGGTGTCTCCATGTTCTGTTTAAGTGTATGGATTGGACCCAGAGTTGAGCACACTGGCTGACTGCCAAGTTAAGACACCGCAAGACCACCCCAGACTGCCTTGCTGAGGACGTCTCCCCAGGCCTCAGGCCATCAGTTGACCAGCCACTTCCAGAAACTTTGCCACTCAATTTCACGCAGCTGTGTTCGGAAGAGTCGTCAAACAAGTAGCCAGCTGATCCCAGTTGAGGGAACAAATGCCCACCAGCGGTGTCTTGATTCACAGGTTTAGCATCTTCAGAAGTTGAGCTTTGATTGGGCTCCGGGACCCCAAAAAGTTTGACAGCACGGGTCGCGCTCCAAGCCCTCGGCCAAAGGGCGTGGGAGGCGGCCCCTGCGGAAAAGGCGACGAGAACAAATCCCAAAATGAAGGCTGTTTGCAGCGTTTGAAGGGCATGGGTCGCAATGCGAAGGCATGGACAAAGGGCACTTGCGACCAAGTGAATGTAAGCTGTGCTTTCAAGACTTTGTCAAACTGTTCTTTGGTTTCCAGGACTCAAGTGCCAGCTGCATCACTGCCCGGCCTCTTCTCATGGAAGTCGTAGGCTTCATAGAGCACAGGGCAAGCCCTCAGGAGGCTGAGAAAAGGCTTGGAACATATCTTGGAACAGCGGGCAAAGGCCAGCGCTTGGGAAAGGGCGCATCTCACAAGAAGCTCCTGGCAAATGTATTTGGTGTTTCTTCAACGGAATGAAGGAAATTGGCTGGGACTCTGCATGGGAACTTGTCAAGCCCCTCCTCCCCTGCCCGCCCCAACAAATCAACAGCAACTGGTTGGCTGTTGCTCTAACTTGTCGCGATTTGCTGGCCCAACCTGAGAAACTCAACTGGGCCCCAGGCTCCTGAGATGGGGTGAAATTCTTCACCAAGGCTTCCCACCTTGCTTCCAAAGGCGAGCGTGAAAGGCGAAGAAAACACCCATGGGCCCTGCCATGGGCCATGGGAGGGTGAGTATTGGAAACCCCTGGCCTCCATGCAACACCCTATGCTCACAGGTCTACCACTGCTGCGGGGCTCTGCATGAGCGGCCGTGGCAAACGGGCTCAATCCAAATGGGTTGCCGCTCCCAAACCACGAATCTATTAAGTTGAACAATGGGCTAACTTCAGCAAAAGGTGTCTGATTTCCTCTTACCCACACTACTTGGAGATTATGTTGCCGGTGTTCAAACTTCGGGGTCTTCAGGGCAGCTTCATGGTTACAAGTTACAACTAAGTAGTCCCCCCCCCCGTCGGGAAGCTCATTTTTGGGGAAACTCGAGGGATTCAAGAGTGACTTAGTATTGGTGGGGTTAAGGACAGACTAAAAAGGAAAGCCCCTTTTCTTGCAGGTGGTTTTGGCTTCGGGGCTGCAGGGGGATACCTTACATCAGGGGGGGTTTTGAGGAGACACGAAAATATATTGAGTAGGTTTTTTGGGCAAACCTTGTTGGCCCTTTACTTTAGTATTGGTGGGAATCTGGATGGAAAGGGGAAACCTTTAATCGAGGGGCGGGTTTACTAATCGCGCGCTGACATTAGAGACCATTTGTGGACAGCTGGACTGGGCGGGCCGAGGAGCTCGTGCAAGGGGCACAAAGGAAATCGGCCGCGGCAAACCTGGCGGCTAGTTTGCGCGAGCTTGCGAAGCTGCCAGTCAGGGGAGGGCGTTTCTCGACAAGCCACTTGTACACTTGTACACATCTTCCAACGCCGGAGCGTTAGATTCTATCACGTCCTTTGTCAATGCTCACCCTTTCACCATTCCCTCCCGCGCGTAAAGGCCGTTTCAAGAGATGTCCTACGGATGCTTTGCTGCCCGTGCGTCACTAAAAATCCCCGAAATGTGTCAAATTTGGGGACTCCCCTTTTTGTTGTAATCAACATCAAACGGGGAGCTGGCAGAGGGCGTGCTGAGTTGTAGGACAACCCATGACCCTGAGGGGAACAAGAGCCCGCGAGTTCTTGCACAGAGTTGCTCCACTGACCCTGGCAAAGGAAAGAAACTTGGTCCCTGATAAAGGAAAACACAGAATGCCAAACCAATTTTCTACAAATTGTTGAAAGTACATGACGCGATTCCCTCCAGTTTGGCTTGGTCATCCTCCCGCACATAAGGGAATTGTGTCACCTAATGCCATCATATGCCATCTACTCGCACCCTGATGCACCCATGTTGACCTTTTAGGAACGGCAGGAGCAGCCCTGAGGTGGTCCAAGCCATGGCTTTCTCATGATACTCCCAGTGACCTCCTGCACGCGGCCATTGTACAAAACCTCAGCTTTCGGCAGGGGGGACCAGGATGGCCAGTACTCGATCAAGCTGGTATCAACATCTATTGGAGCCTGGTGCAGAAACGGAAGTGCGGCCGCACCTATTTGCTCTGCCAGCAACCTTCACTTCTCTCAGTTGCCCAGAAGGATCTGGAACTTCAAGTTATTCATCTTTTGGGTCTATGAACAAGTATTTGCCAACATCTGAAAACCAAAAGGTCAAAAGGAGGGCTTTGAACAACTGAGCTCAAGATCTCAGAAGATGACGGCTTATCCTCAGGCTAGGAACTTGCATGGGAGTCCAGTTCCCAAGCAATGCGGTCGCTGGAATTCCCCCTAAGACTCTGCATTTGCAGGTCGCAGCAGCAACTGGGCGCCCCCGCCCTCACAAACATGGAAAAATTGTTGTGCTGATACCTGGGACAGTGCGGGCTGAGGCAATCTTGTGCAACTGCCAGCATTGCTTGTCTGGAGCAAGGCTCCAAGCCCACGTTGCCGTGAAAAAACACTTCCGTATACGGGATCCATCCCTGAACAGTGATCCTGCTCCAAAGAACGATGCTATCCACTTGCCTCGTGGCCTGGCATGCTTCATTTGGCCCAGGTGCAGCTCATGCACGAGAGCTGCCAGGTATGGCGGCCGCCTGGATTCACAAACCAAATGCGCGCCGAACACGTGATCAGTTGTGACCCGACGACTGGCATCAAGCGCGTCCGGTGAGTCATAATCAAACCAAGTAGTCAAGGGGTCTAACCAAAACCACGCTGAAGAATTGAAGGGGGCAGGCACACTTACCCTGTCTAAAGTTATGGCTACAACTGTCCCCTGCCAACCTTTTGCCGGTGCCGGCGGCCAGCCTCTCTGCAGCCTTGTCAAGGCCATAAATCGCCAGAAGTGGCACCAGGTCCGTGTCACTCACAACGGTGATGGTCCTAGCACCCAAGCAAACGCTTCAACCTTTGACGAATTGACATGTGCTGCCAGAAGGCTGTGCTGTGGGGGGGGTGGGGGGGTGGGGTGGGCAAACAGCTGCCGATGGGCCCAGCAAATTCCAGTTGAGTTGGCAAGACCTGCCTGTGAACCAACTGCAAGCCCCACTCTGAGCTGCCGGCAACCTGGGAACACCTTGTATCAGGTGGGAACCAGCCTGCAAATGCTGGTGAAGTACGAGGCGGCTTGTGGATGTCTAACCTCAACATGGAAGCCCGGGCATGTCACAACATCTCGGCATTTTGATTAAATACCCGTGCGGGATTGTTCTTCGTGTGTTGTTGGCAACAGTCTGACCAAGTGCTCACGTTTCTGTGCATTCGAAATTGCGTGCTCGCCTTCAGCCTTCGGGCGTTGCGTTTTGCTGTTGTGCCGCTGTCTTTGAGCGAAGCGATTGCTGCATTTCGGCAGCAAGGACCGGGGCATGGACACCTTTGTGGCCGTTCGTCCGTACATGTCGGATCTCTTAGAGAGTCATGTGAGACGCCGGCATCAGCCTCGAGCTGGGGCTATACAAGGAAACTCCTTGGTGCGAATTGTTGAGCTGGCGAACTCCTAGTCAAACCCAAGTGAGCCTTGAAGCTGCCAGCTCCCGACACCCAGTCACCGTCACCGATTTTCAGAAGCCAATATCATTGCTTTGGCACGCAGCGGCCTCGGCAAGCGGAACTCGCAGCGTAGACCATGGATCAAAGCGCTCACAGAACCTGCAATGCACGGGCCGCAATCCATCCGCTCTGATTACTACAGTTGACCACCTGAAAGCCAGGGAGCCCATATGGGAAATGGACGCGCATGGCCAGCCTGTCTTTCCCCAGGTTGAGATTGCCACGAGTAGTGGATCTATTTTGCCCCTTCCACGTCCAGTCCGCGTAAAAAGAAACAGCACGAGTGATGTCAGCTTATCCACGCACCATGCCGTGTTCGCCGTATAGAAGCTGGGGCAGGTGCTCTTTTGTGCCAACACCCCCAGGGGTTTACCAGCAAGCCGTGCCACATGCTCAAAATGGAAGGTGGAGTTGAGCGGTCGCAATTCCATGAGTTCCAAATCAAACACGAAATCCGAACCACTTGCCCTCCCACTGTGGAAGTGCACGCCTTTCTTTTGGATGATAGGTGGATCGCCAAGGCCGACTTCCGGGCTCTTGTTCAAGCTGGGCCCCGATTCTACCGATCTGTAATCTGTAGCGCGCCACTACAACAAGGGAAGACACCATCTGGCATAAGGATCTCGCGGACTGATTTCGAACAAGCCAGTATCTGTTTGTACCTGTTGAAACCCGGATGGTCGGCAGCGTTTCGTTTTTCCAAAAAGGGGGCCAAACAAAGGCATGCCCTTTCTTTGCGGAACCCAGTCAGATGCAACACGTCGAGCCGCAAGTCGCGCAGGTGTTGAAGTGAGCCGCCGTGCTGAGACCAGCCCTCAAGCCTGGCAGAAGCACTGTGAACGCTAGGGCGTTCAAAAGCCAACACAAAGCCCAGTGCCACCCTCCAGGGCCTCCAGCCCAAGCTTCCCCCTGGCCTCTCCAGGTGTGCAACCAGCCCCCGCCTCGAGGCCTCTGGCTCCTTCGGGACGTGGGCGTGGCTGCGGCGCAGCTCCGCCACTAAGGCCTCCGGTGCCATGAAACCCCCCCAAAAAAACAACGATCTTCAAGAGATTCACACGAATTACATGCCCAACAGCAAGCCTTCTCTACCAACACCACTAGACTGACAGTGGACATGAGTTTCTCTTGGACGCCTTGCTCTTCGTTCAGTGGGCCCTCTTTGCAGGCCTCACCCACGTCCTTTGCGGCTGCGTCACCCATAGCACGGCGTAGCGGCTCCTGCCACAATGCGTGTAGCTTTCTGCCGGGGGACTCGAGACATTGGGCCGGCCAGGCGCGGTGACTAGCAGTATCTATCAGTGCAAGCAACACCTGGACCTTTGCGTTTTGGATTGCCTGTGAGTCTGCACGGGGAACACCCCATTGCGTGGTGAAGCGCCGGCAGGGTTGCACCTATTCAACCCTTGCACAAAGGTTGCCCCACCAATTTCCTAGGACCATGCCACAATCAAACGTTTCTTGATATGTGCGATTCTTGGGTCCCCCTCCCCCCCCAACCAACCAAATGGGTTCGGATTGCTCCTTTTGAGCTTCGGAGCCCGGAAAATACCCCGCTTGATTCGATGGCCTGCAGCAGCTCATCTCGGGGTGGCATCACGGCGGCAAAAACGTCCAGGTCGAAAAGCCGCCTTCGAAGCCGTTGACAGTTTGCGGGTAGGCTTTTGGTTAAGCAGAAAAAGCTGGGCTTCCCAGAAACGAATCTTCTCCGGTTAATCCCGAGTCAGGTCGCGAGTGGACAACCAATGATATCAGTTGTAGCACGTGTCATGCCCTCCAAATTGCAGTTGAATCATGGCAAGCTTGTCGGTTGCTGACAAGCGTTGCTGATATGCGTTGCTTCAACGGCATCCCTGCAAACCCGCAGATGAGATGAAAGCATGGCATTAAACTTTGAAGAATCAAAAGGGCAACCACCATCAAACACCCACACCCATTCTTGTTTGGGACTGTGACCTGTTTTCATTGTGGCCCACACGGTTCCATCTACAAGGTTTAATGCGTGAGTCCCCGCAGAAGACGACTCTACCACAAGGAAACTAAACCCAATTGGCTCACTGGGTGTTTTACTGTGACATCCCTCCCCCCACCCTAAGTCGGTCATCATCATCATCATCATCATCATCATCATCATCATCATCAGCATCAATTCTCGGCATCGATGAGCTTGTCTCTTAGAACCTTGTCTGGGGTTCTTCACCCGATCGAAGGGTTCTTAGAGAACCTTTCTTGGGATAGAGAGGGTGAAAAAAAGTTCCCTTGCCTACATCATGGCCAATTGCTCGTTGTAAAGCATTTACCCGTGAGCCCGGGATAAAAATGGGCAAAGCACCGTGGGTCCCTTGCCTCAGCGCGCGCTCTGCTCGCTGACTGTGGAGCCCAGGGGAAGCGGCGCAGCCACTTCGCCACAGCTCCGCGTAGGCACCCAGCACCTGCGTCATGGTTTCGCTCCCCGCTGCCCGGCTTCGCATCCAAAGGGATGGGGGGGGCGGAGGGCAAAAGTGAAGATCCCCCAGCCTTAGCCAAAAAAGGGGTGGGGGAGGCTGGCAAAGGAAGCTGATCATGACATAGGCTTTTGAAACCCACAGCTGGCATGCAAAGGTGTCCAGCTCAATTCTGAAACCAGCGCATCTATATACCCCATCTATCGCATCACGGGAGTCTTTCTGCCTCTCTTGCCAGCTGCAGCGGGATGGCGTTGGCCAGCTCCTTCTGCCAGCCTTTCCTGGCGTTCAAGGTAGGTAGATAGCAGGTAATCAGTTGGTAAATTGTGGGAGCGACCTCACACCCTACCAAAAGAAAGAAAGTGCGCACATGTAAAACGTGCCGGCTTGGCCTCTCCGTCTGCATCTCTTCCATAAGCTGCGCCTTCTGCACTTCAAGTGCTTCATCAACCTGCGCTGCAACTCTCAGCTGAAACTATGGGGATCTCAGAGCACTTTCAAGTATAACTATGAGTTTATTTTGATAGATTCACGGCGTGGGGGTGCAAACTCAACTATCAAAGCCGATTGCTGCCTTCTCTGGGATGTACTTGCGAGCTTCTAGGGCGTAGTGCTCCTGCCCGAACCGGCCACGGTTGTCTCGCAGCTCTTTCCAGGTTGGGTTCCTCTGTTCGCTGAACCAGAAAAAAGCGGCTCCACAAACAAACAAACGCTTGTTGGGCGCCTTTGGCAATACAGGGTAGGGTAACAATGTGAAAAACAAATGGACCACGAGAGCCAATGAAACATATGTGCTCGCGTTTGCAGTTTTGGATTTGTTCAACCCGCGCGCCAACCAACCAAAAGGAAACACCTCATCACAAGAGGGTGGTTTCCAAGCCACCTCCCCTTGGCCCAGAGTCTGCAGCGGCCCTATCCCCGGTCTCCGCGTCTTTGGCGCGAGCTGCCGCGTCTTGGCGCTCGACTTCTGCAGTTCGAGCGCCCAGCTCGGCCTGCATCAAACTCCCCCAACCTCACCCGGCTTCCTCCGAGTTGGGCGATAATGGGTGGATGAGGCGCTCGGGAAGGTTGGAATCCGATTTACTTTGACCGGCAGCCGAGGGCTGTCACAAGCTTCCCCCCACCCATTTTGGAGAGGTCCCGCCTGCCTTCCTACATCCAACCTAGATAAATCACCCCGAAAGAAAACTCACGAGGAAGGCCTTCCTCAGGGCCTTCCTCATTCCTCGGGCGTAACGTCATTGCCATCGCCTCGGTGAGCCGCTGCTGCAGCCGTTGGCTCTCGGCGCGCTCCAGCGCCAGGCGCCTCTCCAGCTCCCCGCACCGCCCCAGCTGGGCCGAGGTGGTGCCCCAAAGCTGCCTGCCGAGAGCCGACTGAGCCGACTGAGCCGACTGAGCCGACAGAGCAGAAGACGGGACGATCCGAGACCGGTTGACCAAGGCTCTATGTGACACGCTCTTGCCGGATTTCGTATGATTTAGATGCAATAGCACATTAAGCAGTGTTATGCCATTGTCACGACCCGTGGATTGATTGAGAGCAGCCATCCTTGCATGCTTGCTACCTGCTGCTCGATCTGGCAATGGTGCTTTGCGGCCATCGGCTGTCTAATTTGTGAGTCAGCACATTTGGGCAGTCCATAGCTTACTTCCTCAACCGCACTGACAGCGAATCAAACTTGCCACCATGGCAAACATCACCGATCAACACAATGACATGCCAAAAGAGGCATGTCCTGAGTGGTTTGGGCGAACAACAACGTTTGTGTCAGTGTTTGCCACTGACACGGCCCTCCCAAAAACAAAGTAAGCCGAACCATTCGTGGAGCGAGCGTATGCACATGGACCCGAGGGTGGCTCAGGGGAGTTGCTTTGAAGGCAAATGAAGCAAAGGCCTCAGCTGCTGCTGTTGGCCATGACGATGCCAGATCTGCAAGTCTGCCGAAGCCTCTCCGCAAAGGCAAGGACTGACGCATGCCATGTTTGGGGTCCAAGGGGCAGCCCAGGCGCCGTGCATCCATGCACCCCCCAAAGTAAAACCACGCGTCCATGAAGCTAGCCAACTGTATCACTTGCAAGCGTGTGTGCCAAGCGCTAGAGTTTACAACTGAACTGAAACCCATTGGAATCACGTATCCGTTATTCAAAGGGAGCATTAATTTGGCTCCCCTATCGGATGTCTCTCTCTCTCTCTCTCGCTCTCTCTCTCTCTCTCTCTCTCTCTCTCTCTCTCCTGTTTGACCCGTCAGATGCGTGCTGCATTGCTTGCCTGAGGCAACTTGTTTCCGAGACCATTGGCCATGAGAACAAGCGTACTTCTTTTGCGGTAGTTGATATTAATAGGATATGCTCCCAAACACAAACATGGACGCCGTCTGGACGGGACTCTGCGTCAAACACCCGCTTGGCCGCAAACTTTGAAATCGCAGCTTCGCCGAATTAAAATGCACATGTTTTTTGAGGATTGGAGTGTGCCACAACCTTCCTTGAGAAAACTGCGACTTTCACAATTTCCCGAACAAACTATGAAACTCCCAGGTGTAGCGAGCGCTTTTCGCGCCGTGCCCAGCTGATGTCACTGGACATCCCTCGCCGCCACAGCCACGAAGTCTTGAAGCTCAAGCTTTCCAAACAAGAAATCACACAACCCGCCCTCACTTTTAATCAGCCCTATACATTTGCTTTTGTGCTAATGTGTGAAGTCTTTCGGTGCGCTCTTGGACGAGAACGTGAACATTTTTGAGCCTTGTGCGCGCATTGTGTGCGCATGGTGTGCGCAGTCTGGCGGCGAGCGGTCTGTCGCATGTTTGTGCCGTGTGCGGGCAGCTTGGCGGTGCCCGCTCGTGTGACCGACTGCGGTCAGCGAATCCGGGGCGTGCGGAGCGCGAGTAGGATGCCAAATTTTTGCAGATGGGAAGCGTGGTTTCAGTTGAAAACCTTGAAACGTCAGGGTCGCGCAGAGGCATCGCCCCCAAAACCACGGTAACTGCACTTTAACCCCGCAAACATGAGGCCTCAAGCCAAGCAAGCACGGCCCGAGCCCCATGACTTTTACATCTGCAAGTGTGGTGAAGCTTTATATTGCGGCTTTTGCGTTGGTGCAGCCCGCCACCTCGAAACAAACCATGCTAACATGGCCAGCAGCATTTTTGGGGTGCTGCCTAAAAGATACTGCTGAGCAGCATGTTGGGTTGCCGGGGGGGTTTGCCCGGATCGAATGACGGTCACTCTTGGACGTGGGTTGGGAAATGCGCAAACCCTATGCGAATAGCAGTGAATTGTGGCTTCGGTAGGATCACAGGAAAGCCTGTAAATGTCCAACTTCGCGTATTCGAATCTCAGATTCGAATACGCGGCGCTGGCAGGCGCAGCATTGTCATTTGCTTGAAGCAGGCTCCAGGACTGTGGCCTGGCTCTCTCTTAGTGAGAGACCTTGAGAATGCCACCAACACTTTCACGCAGCTGTCCCGCCCGGGCTGCCTTGTACATGCGAAGCAGACAAGTCATGAGCTGCGCTGATAACTTGCTGGCAGAACTTCCGTTCCTGCTCGATACTGTGAGCGCAGCGGAGACAAAGACCAGCATTCGGGAAGGTAGCTCCTTCAAACGCAAGAAGGCCCCAAGCCCTCTTAGACATCAGGTGTCTAAGACCACCTGCGGAAAAGTGGCAACGTGTCAAATACGCAAATAGGACTGCGCAGTCGCGTAGAGCGCGCAAATAGCGGAGAAGTCACATGGCGTGTGGGGCTGGGGGGTCGGGATCGACTAGTTTGAAACACAGGTTGGCCTCGACATGCTGGAAACGTGGATCCGTGTTCTTTCCATCCTCCCCCCGTTCTCTCCCCCCCCCCCTCGACAGCCGCGAACACGCTGAGGATCGGCATGCGCGGGGCAGCATGAAAGTCCGGGCAAACCCCCCCCCCCCGTCAACCCAGCATGTTGCTCAGGGTATGTTTCTCAAAATAGGGCTCCCCTTTCTGGATGCTTTTTACTGGTAAACCAAAGGGCATCCACCGCTTGAAGGAATTGGTCCCCAAATTCTGCGAAAAAGCCTGTCCCCTCCAAGCCAAAAAAAGAAAAGAAATGGGTCTGTCTCATTAACTAGGGCTACAAACAAGGTCGTCCTTTTGAGTTTCCCGCAAAATGGTTCCGGCACCGGGAGAAACGTCGCTCGAAGTCGTTTTCCGGCACCTGGAAGGCCTCCTGGAGCCGGCGCTGCTCTAGGAGCTGCTGTTCGCAGGCTCGGCGCTGCAAACTCAGCGCCTGCTGCAGGTCGGAGATCTGCACCTCATAGCCTGACACGAGTTGTGCCTTTGGAGCCGGCACCCATTTTTTTAAGGTTGGCTTGGGAAACCAAAAGGAAACCCAACATTTTGTGGGTGCCACTATTTGGACACATACCCATTTGTGTGTTGTTTCTGTGGAGGGGGGGCTACTGTGACTTGGAAAAAACTCCTTTTTGCGTGCAGGGGGTGCCTGGAGCGTTAAATGTCCAAGGTGAGCGGGGTGGGGGTGGCTGTGACAGGGCGGCAACCTGAAAATTGCATGGGCGAATGAAACGCGCCAGGCCTTGTCGCTGAAAAAAAGGGGAGACATGCTCGCTCAAAACCAAGGGTTGACCTGTTCGTGAAAACGAAAAGGCGGCACGTGACTTCCTCATTTGGCAGTCAAGTAGAGTCTAACACACACACAGAGATTGTGTGGGAATGGTTGGAGAAGTGGAAACTCTCAGGCGATGTTGGACAGTCTGGATGTAAGACTCACTGAAGAGGAATTTGTGAAAGTTGGCTGACTTGGGATCCCCTTGCTTGGTGATAAGTTGCCTAAGCTTTGGGCATGAAATTATTAACTTAACTAGCGTTTGGAGCGGAGGCACACGAGCAAATGAACAAGGCGAATCCGCAAAGCAATTCAAGCGCAAGGCAGTGTACAACTACTGGACACTCAAACACGCCGCAGTTCGACACAACACACAGGGAAGCGTATGACGCTGCACCTTGCATTTGTGCGGGTCTTTGCTCATCTTGGCAGACTTGACCTGCTTTGCAGCGATGCAACCGCGTGTCCTTGGAGGGTCATGTGGCCCTTCCCTCAAGGAGCAGGGTTTGCTTTTGCCGGGGTATCTCCTGGCTCGCCCCTCAGCAGCAGCCTGGCTTAAAGCGGACATGGGTTGCCACAGAGATGCCAAGGGTCTACAAACATGCACTCTCTTCCTTGGATAAGCCCGCCCCCCCCCCCACAAAGAAACAGGGGTCTGGGGGAACCAATCAAATTGGCTTCAAACGGCTTCAGCGGCCTAAGCTGGCGTTGCTCTTGCCGCGCTGCAGCTCCAAAGCCTCTCCTGCCGGACTCGCCCGGCTGCATTGGAAGCATGTAGATGCATTATGATTCATCGGGTGGCTGGTAAGAAATGACATGCCCCAGAAATTGTATGGGTCGGGGGTCAGCGACCTCTGAGTTGCATTCATTGGATTAGCAAATGCCACCTAATCCTTACCCAGGTCAGCTGCAGTGTGCTTGCTTTCGGAGCCCAACGCTAGAATCAACAATTCTCAAGTCTCATGCATGTCCATGCGTTCAGAGAACGGCACTACGCCAGCAAGAAAATCCAGTGAATGCAGCAAATTACCGTTGCACATCCAACATGTTTGCTGGGTCACCTTCCCGCCCCCGCCCTGATCCACCTTTTGCAGGGGTTCTCACCTTCTTCCCCCAGACCGTCAACCGAATCCATCTGCGACACTGAACCCGAAGAAAAGGATGTGTTTCTGTTTTCGGTTGTCGCAAGCGGGGTGCTGGGGAAAACCACCTTGGGTGTTTTCCGTCAGCAAACAATATGGAGCTTCGTGGTGCATGACTGTCAAACTGCCAGCCTTCAAAGCCTTCGCGCCCATATCATAACTGCTTCTTGGCATGGTAGGGCTCATCCATCAAATGATCACTAGAAGCTTGATTAAGCAATCCTGCTTGAGGGAATGGCCAACCGTGTGACAAAAGCCACTCCAACCGCTTCTGTCAACAAGATTCGAAAACTGGCAGCCGTGTAAATGCGTCTGCATCAAACCCCGATTTCCTTTTGGTTTTCCATGAAGCTAATCTAAAAGCCTGAAAGTGATACCCAAATGGCCGAGGCGCGGTACTTCTCTTCCCACTGGTTCTGCCAGTGCTCAGCAGCCTTCTCTGCGTGCTCCGCGCGGTCGTGCAGCTGGCCTGGCTCGCAAGGCCCAGATGGTAGATCATCTTCCGGTGGCCCGTTCGGCCCTGGTAGAAGGGCACCACTTCTTGTTTTGTTTTGTGCTCTCTCTCTCTTTCGGGGGAAGCCGCCACACAAACAACAAGGGTGCCTTTGAACTCCTTGAGCCATCGAAGCCCTCTTTACAGTTCAGCAATCTCGCGGACAAATTGTTCGAATGACGCCAAAGAGAGGAACCGCTCGATACCGTTGAAACTGACAGGAGCACAACCAACCAACCAGCACACACTCATGGCGGAGCTCATAGCGTGTGACTCCTTTACTCCTTTGGCCGGGCCCCTGGACCCCAGCCTATGCATCTCAAAAAGGCCCGCAGCTTTGTCAGGCCCTGCTGCCCTGCAAGGTCGGCCACTCGCACGAAAAGGCCCAAATGCCTCAGTTCGGAGGCCGCAGAATCGGTTTTGCCAGGAAATGGGTCTGATAGGTGGTTCTAAAGATGCGCCTTTCTTGGAAGTTGGGATTCTGGATGCTCGGACGCAATGATGTGATGGAATGTTGCACCGGTACTCTGACACTGCCGGTGATTCACTATCAGCAACAACCTAAGGAACCTCAGTGACCCTGGTGGGCATCCTCTGACAATTGGAATGCTTTGGAGATCCGATCGAGTGTTCCCATCAGATTGAGAAAGCGATGAGCGGGCTCCTTTGCTTCGCGCGAATTTCCCCGCGGATTGCCGGCTTGCTATCCTAGCACCAAATTCACACCTTAACGGTAACCTCGCATATCAGCTCCGCATCCTTTATGAGAGTTGTATTGCTTGTTGATGCGCGCATAGAGCCATCTTCGTTTGTTGCTAAAAGCTGAGAGGCAGCTGGTCTCGCTTCCTCTCAGTCCAACTGCAACTGCTCAAATTGCATACACGGTGTGCTTTTGTATCATTCTCGAATTGCCTAAATCCAGGGACCATGATGATGTCACGTTTCTCGTGCTATCAAGGGAAATGAATGTCTGCCTTGGGATCTCACATTTTGCAAACATGGCTGTGGCGCCTTGAAGCATCATGCTCCACCACTAACGGCTTTCGAGCCAATTGTCGGCCTCAACAGGACCAACTACTGTGGGGTCGGAAAGGGTGTCAACAATTAGACACATAGGAGGTTTTCTCTCACTGACTGTGGACCTTCTTCGTGAAAGCCAAGCTTCGGCTCAAGCGTCGCCAAGCAATTGGTGCTGCACTCCTGTCGCCAGTCCCAAGCCGCCTTTCCTTTTCACCGTTTGGAATGCCGCGAACCCCCTCCCCCAGCATGCCTTGGTGAGGGCCCCACCCAGCCTCGTTCTCTTACCATCCAAGCCATACGGGAGGCCAGTCCTGAGAGACGATCTCCCATACTGGCCGCAGCTCAGCAGGCAGCTTGGCATCCATACGCACCGGATGTCAGCTCATGCGCTCCCCCTCGCAACCTAAAATCAAGGTGGGCCTTGTTACGACTAAGACGAGGCCAAACGGTGGGCTCTCGTCAGGTTGGGGTCAAGGCTTCGGGCAATCTTGCTGCAGGCTCGTGATGGCAAGTGTGGGCTCCCTTTTGCTGCATCCAGCGGCTGCGGAATGTTGCTATGCGGCCTTCCAAGTGTCATCTGGGATGACTTCCAGGCTTACGGCTCTTGCCATACCGTTTGTCTCCAAGAAGGGGAACATCCAAAATGCATTGCCCCAAAAGGCTTCCTTGGTTTACATAATCTACTGAGACCCTCAAAACAAGATAAGCCCATAATTACGGCCTTCAGCTGGTCCGCGATGATTGCCAGCAAGTAGCCTGAGCACGCGCTGGGCAACTATGAGTTGAAATGCCTGAGAAAAAAAAAGCCAAATCCAACAACTGCACTGTGCTGCCGGCCTTTTTGAACAAAATTAAATCACATGTCCTGTCCGCAAGCATGAAACTTACCAAAGGCTTGGTCCCATAGAGGGAAATTATCTTGCAAACGAGGCCGGTTCTACGGTGGATGGGAGGATAAATCTGTAGACCAAGATGCCATACTGGAGGGAGGCAAACTCCTGGAAGAGCTCGTCGCCTTGAGACCGCCTAAGAATTCGTTCTCATCGCCGATGGTTTGACAGATCTTTGGAATGACTCACCCCGGTGTTGGAGCAGGATCCCTCAAGTGCCATGCGAGGGTATGGACATGTCGCCGCTATGCTACGCCATAACCACCATTCCCAACTTGAGGCCTTCAGAAATCCCCCTGCAATCGACCCGCATTCATCCCAGGCGCGTTTCACATTCGATGAACAGCCCTGGAGACATGCGGCTTCGGGGATGCTCAAAGTGGACCGAACTGGGAAGCCGAATGGTTGCGGCTAGTTGCGAACGGAACTCAGGCTCTGGCCAGTAGTCAAACGCCCATCTCACGTCTTTGGTCTCATTTCGGTCGAGGTCCCCGAAGAGCCCATGCCTCAGTGTCATGGCGCTGGTGGCATGGCTGTTATCACTCAGGATCTCATGCTGGCCCTGAGAGGGTGGCAAATGCCGACCAACACGGTCGGAAACTGAAGCAAGCAATTTGCTGAAGCATAGAACGTGTAACTGAAAGGCCAAGCTGAGAGAGCACTATGCTTGGCTTCAGCCCCAAGCGATGCGCTGGTGCGCATTGCACAGCTTCCCACACTCCGCGCACCTGCTTTTGGAACTGCTCCTGAGCCCCCAGCGCTCCAAGAAGCTGCGTGGTTTTGTCCTGAGCTGTTCAGCTCTATATGCAAAAATGCCCTTGGGATGCCTGGCCAAAGGTGCCCACATGGAAACTGAACAAGAAGCTGGCACTTATCAAGCTGGGAGCAACTGAAACAAAGACCTTTCATGGCAAGGCGGCAAAAAACCCAGTCCTTCGCCCAGGCCGGGACGTCCTCGCGGAGCCAAGCGCATGCCACGTTTCGAAAGTGGGGATAGTTGCAAGCCCCGCCTGTCAACCGCAAGTAGACCACGAGTGCACGAACTAAAAAGAGCTGGGGGCATCACTTAATGGCGTGCGAAGCATTTGTTGCAGCTTCTGGCTGGTTAATCGGAAACTGAACAAGGCCCTACTGAAGCATCACCGGCACACAGGCGCACAGAAGACATGCTATACGTTAGTGTATCTGAGTACCTTGGCTCGGGCTGTCCATTGTGCGATTGGGTGACAGGAAGAGCAACAAATTGTTGCATGATGTTGCTTATGTTTTTGTCTTCTTTCTTTGTTTTGTGGGAGGGCCCCTCCAAACTTTCAAGCAGCTGGCTCAATGAAGCTGATGCTCCTGCAGGCCCGTGCATGCGTGCACCACCACGCAGTCCACCACTGCCGACAAGAACCGTGCTGCCTGGCTGGCACCGCCAAAAATAGGCCAGGTAGAAGTTGGCCATGTTCTTGCGAGCGCTAAACGGCCCCATGATGATGAGTTGTGCATGTGATACCTTTTGGTGAATGCATTCGCAGTTTCTGACTGTGCATCTGTTTCCACGTGCCCGATGCAGATCAGGTAGTACACATTGGGGGATCCATTTCAGGATTTCAGATTTGGACTACAATCCGCCCCCCCCCCCCCCGACTTTCCATGCATCACCCGTTTAGGGACTTCTGGCTTCCAGTTTCTGGAGTGTCTGGATTATGCTCCCAGGCCACAAATCCAGACCACTCAGGGCACATGCCCGACCCTGGAAAAGAAACCACGCTCGCCTCTCCTGCAAGGTCGCAGGCAGCGTGGCAACTGATTTGATTTTCCGCCTCTGCCAAGCCCCCTCCTAATGATTCCTGCTTGGAGTGGCCTTTGGCCAAGATGTCGACACTTGAGGCAACTGTGGCACTCTCAAAGCAAACAAGTAGGCAGGCGATGCCACTCCAGGGATCCTGAGCCGACCATTGGGCTTACAGAACGGCCTGTACACTTCGCATCCTTCTGGCCCGTGCGGTTGCCGATCTGACCGTCAGGAAATAGGAAGCACACCAACACGCATCTTGGCTCCTCGACTCCCTCTCCCCGCTACATTCTGGACGGCCAAATGCAACACGTTTCTCGCAGCGCTCACATCTCCCAGGCAAAGTCGCTGGTACCAGTATAAAAGGATAAGCTGCCTCGGGGACTGGTGCGCAGTATGGCCCCCACGAGTAATCAGTAGTCTTGTTCCGGTTCTCTTGTGCACTGTAAGGAATCAACAGGACAAACCGGGGAGCAAGCAGCAAAACAAACTAGGCACTAGCATCATCATCCAAGTGCATGAAAATGCTGTTGACGCCAAAGCACGTATCCTCTTCTGAGTGAACTCCTTGAGATTCTGCGCTGCCTGCATGCGGACAATGCCAGCGATCGAACTCATGCAAACCTGCCTTTGCATTTTGATGTGCTTGGCTCAAAAACTAACGGAAGTCACGCAGCGACCAGCAGCACCTACATACACGGGCCGAGTTGTGAAAGGCAAGGGCCGCACACACACACACAGACCATGCACTGCCCTCGAAAATAGTGGATTTGCAAAACATGGGGCGGCTGCTGGCCCAAAGCAACCTCAGCCTGTCTGGGTGGGAAAGTGCAGGCTGAGAGCTGATTGACAGTTTCACGCCCAGTCTGCAACCACTCGCTTGTCCAACAACCGACACCGATGCCCAAGCTGTTGTCGATGATTTGGGCACACGTCTGTTGGGCTTGGGCTGGCTGCAACCAGCCTGCTCCAGGTCCTGCTAAGTATCGCAACCCCCCTCTTGGAGTTCTCTCGAGGGTTCGTAAGACAGGAGCATAAGGCAAACTCTGACTCAACAACTTGGCTTGAGGGACCTTTGGGTGCGCAAACTCAGACGGCTTGAGGTTTGAGGATGTAGGTCCAGGGCCAGAGCTAGTTTGTGACTTAGTCGCAACAAAACGTGGGCCAAACTCAAGGCGATGTATACTTTCAACACCTCATTGTGTAAAACCTGAACAGCCAAGGTGAAGGAAATCATGACCAAAGTGTCGAATCGTAGAACTCCCAATTGGGGTTGAACGCTGTTTCTGGAAGGTCCAGTCGGCCTTGACCTAGGCGACGAGCCCAAATTGACACAGACTTATCCGTGTCAAACCAGGCCCCCTACCCCCGGCGAGAGAACCATATCTTTACTGTAGTACCAGTGCCACAAACAAGAATGGCTGTTGTTTGCTTGGGAAACGTAACCAGCTGCTGTCCCGCGGGCCTTGGCGTCCAGCGATGCCGCCAGCTTCTCGATGGAGCCCTTGACGCCGTCCTAGGTCGAAGGGACGTACAACTCCCCCGGGTCGAATGTGCAAGACACACAAGACGCCAGTCCCGGAAAACTCTACGTCAACCTGGCCCAAAGGCCTGGTTGTGATGATTTGGCTAGCTTCCTGTGGAATAACTTGGAGCTGGTCAATGAAGCGGCGCTTGCGCATTGTCCAAGTGGTTGCTCAGGTCGCATAGTGTACAACTTTGATTGACGCCCACTGGAAACACCACTCCTTTTGGGGTTGTTCAAACTTTATCAATATACTTCAACTCACTAGACTCTTCCCATGCTGTGGCAAAACCGCGTCCTCATCCCGGTTCTTCACCGGCAGGGCAGCTGCCACTGCTCGTTCCCCATCCTCTGGATCCTGCGGGTGGGGGAAGCTGCAGTGCTCCGGAAGCTCGATGTCCATGGGTGCGCGCTCGTAAACGCAGGGGAGTCGCCATGGAGTCGCCAAAAGCCACAGACGACAAAAGATGGATTCTTGAACACTGCGACTTGAGATGCCATGCTAGGAGGTTGAAGAAGTCATCAAGTTGCAACTAGGGGGATCAACCACCTGAGCTGCGAGTCTGGTAAGGGCGTGTCCCCACATAGTCTTGTAGGTCTAGCTCATGCTAGCTCAAGCGATTTGGTATTGTCAACATAAGCATCCTGTCAAACATGGCTCCACCCCAACGCACTCGAGACAATCCATTGTCACACCTTTCATGAAACAGACATTCGCTAGGCAGGGAAGTCCTCGTGAGGGTCAGCCTGACGGGTTTATCATTCTTGTTCTTCCCAAACAACCAGGTTGGACCTTGTCATGCATGGATCGAATTGATGCTCAAACTGGACAAGCTGTTTCTTTCGCGAATTCAATTTCTGTCGACCTTGAGGGCAGGGGGTTGAAGGTAGTTGCCATTGTGGGAGGGGACATCCAACGGAGTCAATGGCGGAGGCTATGTCCATGACGGAAACAAAGTGGCTGCCCACAACAATCAGGTTTCCCATACATGGCTTTGCAGATCCCACGTGCAGGAGTGTAGGGAGCCATTGCTTGGTTGGCTTCACTTTGAGCTCCATTTTAATGTCAACCCAAACAAATTCCGAATCCCATGAGAGGCCACGTGTCCGCTTCACATGTCTCTCCTCTTGTCGGTTTCCCCGATGCGCTGCAGCAGCAGCCACCTTGGCCGCGAGGCTCGGCTTCGCCTGACGGCTTGAGCTGGAGAAGGCCCCGAGAGAGGGCCGCATGCCATGGGGAAACGTCCTGTGCACAGGGGGCTCTTCAATGAACTTGCGTCTTTCTCCGGGGGCGCCACTTGCGATGTCAATCTTGGTGGGAGGCGCGCCCAACAGGACATAAACAAAAGAAATGGATATCAATATTTAAATAGAATAGCAGTGGGGCTGCATTGAAGGCGCAAAGATAGCCTTTCACGTCAAACCATTGTTCGAGGAAAACAGACACCAGCGTGGTTTGTTGGAAGTCATATTGCGCATGAGTCCATGCTTTCTCCCAACAAGCGGAAAGCAAGGCCTGCTGGCCCCTGCGCAGTATGCATCTAGTTCTGCTGCAACGAATAACCAACTGTCTGTGCCACGTCAAGCGCTTTTACTTCGAGCCACTATGGCCTTAACCCAGTTCAACCAGCACCTCAAGCAGCTCAGCCTAGCCCAGTTTGCCCACGGGAGCTATGCCACTCCAACCACAGCCTAGCCCTGTACAACTGGTTTCACAGCGGCCAGCAGGAGCCTGCTCCGGCCCCAGGCCGGCCACGCAGACGAAACAACCAACAACTGCTCCAGCCGTTTCCACAGCCAACCCAGTCCCCACGCTAGGCCAACCCAGCTGCAGGCCCCGCCCGCCCCCCACGCCAACATAGTCGACCACGACTGCCGTGCGCATGGGGTTGCCATTCTGGCCCGAATGTGCCCGCGGAAGCAGCTGCTGCCCGACTCCGACCGATCCACGCTTGAAAAAACCCCACGCCAACACAGTCGATCAAGATTGCCGTGCGCGTTGATCACCACAGCTCTGCTTTGGTTGTCGTGACTTTGTGCGCAACTGCCGCCCATGACATCCACTGCTCCAGCACGCAGCGCCACTGACGCTTGGCTCCATGACTCACTCCTGGTCCTATGCATAGCCTTGCCCTTGCCTCGCAGATTCCTGCGCAACTTCGGCCCGTGACATCAATTGGTCCAATGACGCCAGAACCTGTCCATTCCTGAATGGCCACTTGACCAGCTGTGCTGCTTGCAGTCGAACCACAGACGCTGCGCGCTCGGCTGGGCCGAGGCGGGCAACGCGCAGCGTTTACAATAAGCCAGCTAACAAGCAAGCAAGCAAACCAATACATGAACAACATCCAAACCAAACAAACAAACAAACAAACAAACAAACAAACAAACAAGCCAGCAAACAAGCAAACAAGCAAGCAAGCAAGCAAGCAAGCGATCAGACAAGCAAGCAAGCAAGCGAGCGAGCGAGCAAAGCAAGCCAAAGCAAGCCAAAGCAAAGCAAAGCAAAGCAAGACAAAGCAAAGCAAAGTAAAGCAAAGCAAAGTAAAGCAAGCACGCAAGCAAGCAAACCAATAAGAACACGCAAACAAACAGACAAGAAGACAAGACAAGACAAGACAAGAAAGCAAACAAACAAACAAACAAACATGCAAGCGAGAACGCCATATCAGCTTATAAGTCAACAAGCAACTGTATGCAATTTAGTGTGTGTTTGTATGTAATGTTAGATAGCGATTAATAAAACGGGAGTGAATACAGAAACAAAAATCTCAAAATTATTCACTCTCCTGAAAAGCAAAAAGGGTAGGTATTACAGAAAACAAATCTGCCCGAAATCCCGAAAATATGTCCCCTTCCAATAATGGACTATTTTTGAGGGTTGAAACCTCTGAGTCCAGCCAGAAATGTCCAGAATCTCTGGATTGCTTCCTGTCCCAAACCACCAAATTCCTTATCAATCCCTTTACTAGAAGATGCACCCTGACAAATTTTCAAGGGGGTGGCACACGGAACCCCCAGGAAGGCAATAATGCAGTTTGTTTAAGGGTAGGGAATTGTGAAGAACAAAATGGCCAGGGCAGCCTGCCAAGAAGAAGAACCAATACTAAACCAATTCTAAACTGTAGTGAGTCAACTGAAAAGAATACTGAACTAATACTAAACCAATTCTTAACCGTAGTGAGCCAGCTCAAAGGAATACTAAACCAATACTAAACCAATTCTATTTAAACAATACTTACTGGAAAACTACTCAGGCAGGTCCCAGTCTGACCCCCATTTTGTTTTTGGGGGTTCTCGCTGGTGACCCCCCCCCAATTCGTTTGAGGGGGGGGCGGGGGAGGGGGGGCCCCTTTATTAATCACTCCCCAACATTAAAGAAGCACATATGACGCTCGGAACTTTGCAATCCAACCTCATTGGCTGGAACTTGCCACTTGCAAAGCCCCAATCCCCGCGCGCACGTGCTCGGGATGCGCGCCATGCGCGGCCCTCGCCTCAGCGCAGGCACCCAAGAGGTGCCGCGCGCAAAGCAAGGGGAAGCGGCCCTCAATGCCACTGTCACCTCGAGCACGTCGCAAAATGGGGCCCCTTAATGTGCCTGGTGTCCGGTTGGTTTCCCTTTAAAACATCTGAAGCAAGTTGCCCTCAAAACGCGCAAATGCCCCAAACACTTTTCAGGGGCACCACCTGTATGATGGAGGATGGTGAATGATGTCAACTGTGGATCAATCTGGAGGATCATATTAATCAGGGATGGATGTCTGAAAATAGAAAGATGATGCGGCTGCCAGAAAGCCTACATCCCGGGGATGACCGTCCATGATATGACTTGGCCCCGCCCCCCGATGAGCCGCAGTTCTTCGGGTCTTCTTGTTGTTTTGATGTTTGCTGCGTTCCATCTACCCTTGGATCGGAAGATAAAGGTTGGCAGCTTGGTGGAAGCTGTATGGGTTACCAAGGTGTGACCATTTTATCAAACACTGCAATGATGATTGGTTTGCTTGGTGTTTGGACATTGGCAAGTGCCTTTTGCATCATTCCGGGCAGGCTCCCTGTTGGAGAACTGATTGCCCGCCTGGGGATGCGGGGTCGGCCATCCTGGGTCCTCACAAACAGCGGGAACCAATAACACGGGGTCAGAAACCAGCCATGTGTCAAAGCATCTCCTTCCCGGAGGATCCTTTGAAAAATTCCACACGGGCTTTCTGCTGTGGGCTGGAAGAGGTTGCCAACCTGATGGTTGGTGAAACTCCGCAGGTTTTCCACTAACATAACATGTCATATGATACAGGATTGGTTTCCTAAGTGCTGTAGTTTGCTCCGTCAGCCACGCCCCCGATTTTTGACAATATCTCGTTTTATGTAATTATGAACATATTCACCCAGTACGAAGGACATTCCAGCAACTATTGGTCCACGCGTCGGACGTAGCGCCCCAAGGCGCTCCAACAGTCCCGCCCCAGCATGCACGCCTTGGATCAGCGCGGAGAGGCGATCGGCTTGCTGCTCCAGCGGCTCCCAGCTGCCCGGCTTCCTGCAGCAACGTGCTGGGGTTCCTTACAGCCACTCTTACTCTCACAACGAACCCACCAAAAAGCAACAAACATGTTTCAACGTTGAGAAGTAGGTGACGGGTGGGCAAAATGCCGACCCTTGTGACGCCCATTGTACACACGTACGTATATAAAGTATACACTGACGGAACATTTGGCAGATTTAATTGTTCAGTGTCAATGTATGTCAAGCTGCAAGATTACGGGCTTTCTTAGCTTAAACTTGTCCCAGTGCCACATCCAATGTTGAGGCTACAGGTGGGGCGGAACGAGAAAAGCAGAATAACGTTTCTACTGCCTCCATCGGATCATGTTCTAAGCCAAATGCCGCGTTTTTATTTCGCTACTTCCTGAAAAGGAATGAGTGGGGGCTACATTTGCCAGGAAACAGCATGAGGCTAGACGCGAACAAACTTAGTTCTCAGTGTTCCTTGTAATATGTTCCTTTACTGTTATATATCCCTGCACAAGAAAGGAACCGGGTTCCAAGTTGGCCCAAAGGTGATGTTTGATTCACGAAGAATGGAATTAATTACCAGGGCCATGCCCGTCTGAACTTTCGAAAGGGGTTGTTTGTTGGATCTTCTGAAAGCATCATGCACCACCGAGCCCACCCCCCAATAGGTACGCACCTCGGCACAGTTGAGCCCGCAAACAGCAACTGCGTAAAGAGGACCTTTCCGGAAGCACTTAGCTGTATTGTGTTTTGCGGCACTTCCCCTGCTTCACAGGGCTCCCCATATCTCCCCATAGTTCCCCTTACACATCACTGACAGCTTCCTTGGTTGAAGAACAAATGGCTTGGCTTGGCGTTTGGGTCTACCCTTGTCTTAAGGCTTTGCTCCCACACACGCTTTGCTCCCACACGCTTTCCCTGCAACCGCCAGGATGCCCTCCACCCATATTCACATCATCTTTGCCAAAGGCTAAACGTAGTGATTGACTCAAACGTGACCAGCCAAAAGTTTGTGGTGTTAAGGGGCTTTCCTATGGATTCCCTTCCCCAGGGTAGCCACAAAAACAACAACAACAACCCCTTGTCAAAAGCCTTGGGCCGCGCCTGGCGCGGAGCTTGGCGAGGCTCGCCGCCAGCGCCAGCCCAGCGCATTGCGCCTGCGCGAAGAGCTGCGAGCTTCTCGCCGAAAGGCCAAAAACAAATGAGCGCCACCCCGCTGACTCTGGCTTTGTAAAAAGCCATGCCGCACAACTCATTTCCAAAATTTGCCCAGCAGGTTTGGCAGCAGTTCAAATTTGCTTGTTTCACAGGGGGCCAGCAAACTAGGTATTCTCTTAGGCTTCCTGTGAAAGAGCCAACCACTACAAGTAGTTTTTTTTTCAAGGGAAGCCCCTAGACCTGAGTAGGCATCAAATGCATGAGGATGCGACGACATGTGTTTCCCTTCCGCCTTCAGAGGAAAAAAACACTCGGCATCAAGGTGCTCAGGCCAATCGTTACGTCACCTTCTGCTTGGTATTTCTCAGGAGCAACGCCTCTGCCTTGAATTGGCTCATCTTCTGCAGTCCTGGGGCCCCCTCAAATCAAGGAGGTTTGCGCACCTCATCGTTGCTGTCCTTGAGCAGCTGTGGCAAAGCACCTGCAGCTGCCTCCTCCTCAGCGGAGTGTGGTTGGGCGAGTTGGTAGCTGGCAGGCTTCAGTGCGCGCTCTACGGCATCTTTTAGGAAGCCCTGCAAGCAGCAAACCAGACTATGTGCGCGCTCTACGGCATCTTTTAGGAAGCCCTGCAAGCAGCAAACCAGACTATGTGAGCTGGAAGCGGCTAGTTTCGAAAATGCCCAGCGGCAGCTGGTTGCAGCAGCTCATCTTCTGCCGGGCTCTCCATGTAGGGCTGCTGGCACCAACAGATTCCTGGCGATCTCTTGCGCACCGGCACTTTGCTTCTGAAGCAATTCTTTCTTGTTTCAAGCGGCCAGTCCTTCAGGCTGTCAACACGGATCCCTACGCGCGGAACCACCTGTGACCGCTGCATTCTGGCTCGCCTGCCAAGGCAAAGGCCCCAAGGCTGCGTGTGGAGGCGGAAGCCAGCGCTGGCTTCACCTGACGATCGACGGTTGCCCGTTTTGTTGGAGGTCTGCAGCCAACCAGTCATGGAAGCTTGGAGCCCGCATGCAGGTGCCACATTGTAGGTATTGATGACCTTTCCCCGCCCTTCTACATGTAAAGCATGGACTCGAGTCAACCGATTCTTCTTGGAGGCGCCTGCGACTCAAGCACATCCACTGCAGACTCCGTGGGCAAATGCCGCCGCATCAGCACGCCCAAGGCCCAGCCACAAACCTGGAGTCAACGCATTCCCCACCCCATTACTACTCCTGGGAAGAATCTGCAACGCTTCTGGTATCCCACGTCCTACCCCTGGTGGTCACAAACCTTACGGCGCTCTATCATTCTATCTAATCTGTAGATATACGTGTGTATGTATGTATGGCTCAAAGTGAAATGTTGACCCAGGAGCAATAAACCCCTACATTCCTATCTGGGGATGTCCCTGGTTGTAGTAGGGGATTCATCACTTTCGGAGGGAAGCACCCCATATTCATAAGCAGGGGGTTTTCAATCCAGCAGCTGACGGATACACGATCTGCGTTTCATGCAGTCTGCAGGCCTGGCGGTCTTTCTGCGTGGCATCATCGTCAGAGCCCCGGGTCGAGACCGCTGCTTGGATCTTCTCCTGCGCGAGCTGCTGAAAAGGAGACTGTACTGGACTTTGCCTATACGACTCATTTTTGGGCCGCACCTTTCACAAACAGCCGCTGTGTCGAAATTGTCTTTTCTTGGCGCTTCCCACGGACCTTCTCACATGAGTCCGAATTCAAGCAGGAGCTGGACGATGAACGCCCTTGGTGCCGCAACGCTTGATTATTTTGCCTTGCTGGCACGTTTTCGCCGCTCCTGTGCTGCTGGTGTCGTCGCCGCAGGCAAGTTCAGCAGGACCTCACAGGGGCAATCCGAGAATGCTCGTGATTGCCTCGGACTATCAGGCGCCTTGTTAGAGAGGAAGTCATTTTCCCAACACATTTCACCAAGAATTCAAGAGTGTCCAACCAAATGCAGGCTAAGCTGAGTTGGGTGGTTGTCCACTATTCAACGCACAATCCCATATGTCATATCCTCAGTCAAGGTCGTTCAAACGGTGGTAGAAATCAACTATAGGAAGCGCCCTGGCGCCACAACAGCCAGCTTAGCAGAACCTGGAGGGAGCCTACAATCCGATGGACTCAGTTCGGCCAGAGCCAAACGGCCTCGCCCAAAGCATAGCCCATGGCCACGCGGGCCGCCGGATCCGCTTGGTTGGCCATGCCGGTGCTGAGCCTCGGAGGCCAAGGACCGTGCCCTGCGAAGATACATCCTCGAAATGACCCGCGAAAGGTGGCTGTTTTCAGGGGAGCCGCATGGGGTGGTCACAAGACAAGAGATGTCATGAGCAACTTTGTTCCAAAGCTGGTTGTTGTCAAAGAAGAGCCAAAACTGAAGCACCAAAACTACGTGTTTGACCCTGTTTTGCTTCGCCACTGTGCGAAGCCCGGCCCCAGCCAGCCCGCCCCAAGCCAAGCAACTCATTGACCAGCGGCTCTGTTCTTGGAGCCCTGGCCAGGGCTCTGTTCTTGGAGCCTGTTGACCTCCATAGTCATTGGGCGCCCCATTGAACGGGTTCGAACAAATTGACTTCTTTTAGATGCTGCCCGCACGATTGTCCTTTGGTGCAAGCTGGAACTCGTCATTAGTGAAATTTAGGGTCTCCTGAAGTGATGTGGTGAAAATCTTTGAGTATACCTGTGAAAGAAGTTTCTTGGTTCACCCACCGTTTATTTTGCAAATATAATGGTTCGAGGGCTGCCACTTGCTTCTGGGACCTGAAACGGTTTCGGGGCCACGACTAGACATAAGCCAGACAAAGGCTTTCTAGCTATGAGGTAGACGAGTCGAACAGTCATATTGCGGAGGAAAAGCGAGATTGAGAACCATCAGGACGCCCTCCAAACAAACATGCCTTTTGACACCTCCCAGGGACAAGCCTTTCCCCTACAGGTCTTGAATAGCACTCTCCCAGGAATGCCGAACGCCTGCTCCGGATGAACAATTCATTGCTTGCGCTTCCTAAATGTCCCCGCTAAACGTTTATTTGGCCCCTAAGATTGCACAAAACCAAAACCCCGGATTTAGAGTCTAGAGTCGGGTGTTTTATGGGGCCCCTGTTTTGCACGTGCGACCCGCGCCTCCTGGCCAACAGGCCCAAGGATTGCGCCGCCTTCTCGCGCACCTCCTGACATCGTGAGCCGTTCATAGCTGTGGGGCCTTGGCCCTTCATCCTTGAGTTAGGAAACCCCCTTCAAATAAAGGCAGAAAGGGCACCACTGGGTGTCTGAAAGGCGGAGGTCACACATTTTCCTACAAGGTAGTGTGCGAGGCCGACCTTGCCATCGGATCTGCTGTGAGGGCAGCTCCGGTCATGACATATTCTGGGACGGCATGGCTTGGGCGGTGCGTCGGAACTACTTAATAGAGATTTGCCAATCTTGTCCTGTCCAAGCCATGTGCACAGCAGCTATTCAGAGCAATAAAGCGCTGGGACATAGCAAGCAAGCTTATCTCAGCAACACATTTGGGAGCATCCTCATCATCAATAAACACTAGACACCTGATCTCGACCCTCGAGTGCAACTGTGAGGGGCTGCAAAGCCTTGCAAAGCTTGGTCCCAATGCACGATAACCTATGCTTGGGCGAAGGTTGCAAGAATCCTTGCAATCATCTGTGGCAGAATTATTCTAGCCCGGAAAACCGCGCCTGAGTATTTAGGGGATCGAAGAGGCACTTCACGTAGGTCGTCTGCAGCTGTGGCAGGAAGGCTTTCAGAGTGGCACCTGCGCCCGCACTTCGCAACCCAAAAGAGATCAAACATGATCAAACAGTCCTCACAGCAACTATTCGGCTCCCAATTCTGCAGCAAATGGGGAAATGGAGAAAGGGAGCTCTTCTATGCTCTTCTTGTGCTCGGTCGCTTAATGAGGGGATCTCACCTCACGCAAATCTCAGCCACAGCTGCTGGCCAAGTGCTTGGCCTCTCCACGCCTGCACGGCTCAGAAGCGACTGCAGAGCTTCCACGATCGCCTTCTTGACATGTCCCGGAAACTTGTCGCCCACAATTCGGATCAGCGGGCCTGGCGATTGGTGCGGGAGCTTGTGTGTCTTCGAGGCTCTCTGCGTCTATCGGACTCTTCCGTTCAGTCCCTATCTGTGTACGTTTGTACTATCAGAGTCCATGTCCATGTCTGTATTAGTGTCAGTGTTGTACATCCTGGATCCTAAATCTCACAACTTCAACAGGGTTCCCATGCCGCTGCAGGTGCCCTTCAAGGGCTGGCAAATGAAGTTTGCTCCGAGTCTCCCCCAAAGAACCGTCCCAGCGCGGCTAACGCCCAAATAAGCCACTGTCAAAATAGTGAACCCTACCCGTTTTGGACGGTTTAAAAGCGCAAACCAGCTTTGCACCTGCTGAAACTCACGGGCCGATCTTCGCCTGTGATCTTCACGGCATGCGGCGCCAAAGCGGCCTCCGTGGTGTGATCCACCAACTCCTTGAGACCTCGCAAGTCCCGGAGGCCACCTAAGAGGGTCCGATTAAGTATGCAAAACCTGACCGCCTGGCCATGCATAAAACTTGCTTGTGTGGCATGTATTCTGGGATAAGCGCAACAGCACTTGGGCGTGGCGCTGATGGATTGTTGCGCCCGTGGCGCATGCCAACTGGGCCTGTTGTGTGGCCATCAGCTTGCATTGCCACGCTCGAAACCAATGATCTCGAATGATCTCTGTTTTGGTGCGACGCCCTTTGCAGGGAAAGAAATAATTCTGAACTAATTTCTCTCTTTTGACGACTCTCTCCAATCACCTGCCTTTGGCTGCAAGTTCGCGAGCGTCGGGGCTGCCATGGACCAAGGCGTGCTGATAGATGGGGTAAAGCGGCTCCAAGCCCCCGTGATTGCAAAGTCCTCAGCTGCTGTCCACCCACTGTGACCTCTTCCGGCTTTGGAAACCCGAACGTGCCCCCCCCCCACCCCGCTCCACACCAATTCCACGTCCAGCCAGCAGCAACTTGTTGCGTTTGCCCCATGCCTATGCCCTTGTTTCCCAAGGTTCAGATATACTTCTTATTTGTCATTGCGTGTGCGCATTCCTTATGTCAAGCTTCCTGGCAGGTGAATCTCAGGGTCCACCTTCTTGCTGACAGGGTCGGTGATGACCTTGAGCACTGCGCTTCGTACCTCCCCCAAGTACGGCACCAGCTCCTCCTTCTTACCTTGCACTCGGTTGCAGAACGCCCAGCCGGTGTCCCATCCCTATTCCGACACTCCACAAAGCCGGCGTATGGCAGCCATCCACCCGCTCCAATGTTACTTGAGCTAAGCCGTGTATTCTGTCATAGCTGTGTTTTGAGGTCAGGTTTCAAGAGCGTGTGTGTGTGTGTGTGGGCGTGGGCGCGGGGGCGTGTGGTGTGTGTGTGTGTAGTGGCGTGTGTGTGTGTGTGTGCCTCGCTTAATCCCTCGACCATACCCTTTGACCTTTGGCTTACGATGCCCCGATCCTCGACGCCCCGACTCTGGCATGCTTGGCCCAAGACAAATTTTGTTGACAAAGCTTCTCAATGGATTTCCGTGGGTGGACCGAGGCCCTTTTTGGGCTCTTTGATTTGGGCAGGGGGGCACAATGGCGAAAAAAGGAAGGCAAAGCGGTGCCGGGCTCTCGGGCAATTGCCAAACGGCAAATTCGGCGCTAGTTGTGGCGGGGGGGAGGGGGGGCTGCGAGAGGACCTGTGCGGCAAAGAAATTACGCATCTATGGAATATGCCCATTTGCAGAGCCGCCTCAACGCTTGGTGGAAATCCTGAATGTTCTGATCGAACCTTAACAAACCACGAGTTTTGAACATCTTTTTGGTGCGTTTTATTGCCGGCTTTTTGTTGTATGCTTTGATCGAACCTTAGAAACACCGGGTTTTGACCATGCCTTTGGAGTGTGTTGTGGCAGCCGGCCATTCTTTGCATGTCTTGATCGAACCTAGACCTATAAACACACACACACACAAGTTTTAGAACATGTTCTGGAGTGTTCTGGCCGGCCAGGTCAAGATCCAATGGCAATGCGAGGGGCACTTCTTCACAACGGCGTTCAGCGCCGCCATGGCAGCGCTGAGCGCCTCCTCGTGGTCGTCCGCCAGCGCGGAGGGCAGCAGCGCCGGCAGCGCCTGGTTCAGCGCCGGGATCGCATCCAGGCCTGCTGGGGAGCCCAGGAGAAGGCGCTCTTCGTTTTCCCCTCAAATGGGAAACACAAAGGAACGAGCGCATGTTCTATGGGTCGAAAAACGCAAAGGTGCTCACTTGAGACTATGCACATGTTCTTGGGCAAACCTCCAGTCAGAATAAATTGACTGGGGTATGAGCGGTCCACATCCAGACGGGACGTTTGTGCCGGTAAGCATCATGAGGCGTTTGTGCCGGTAAGCATGCCATACGGGACGATGTGGGAAGGCATTTAATGGTCTAGAAACTGCTGCCATCCCTTTTTCATGACTTGGAACAAGCCCGTGCCGCTGAAATCAACTGACTCTGTCAGAAAAAGATATGCAAGCAGGCAGGCAAGGCAAGCAAGGCAAGCAAGGCAAGCAAGGCAATTAAGGCAAGCAAGGCAAGCAAGGCAAGCAAGGCAAGCAAGGCAAGCAAGGCAAGCAAGGCAAGCAAGGCAAGCAAGGCAAGCAAGGCAAGCAAGGCAAGCAAGCAAAGCCAGCAAACAAATGGTGTCCCGCCCTGGTTGCAGGTACTGCTCAAGTGGTTCTGAAAAAAGGGACCCTCTGGTGCCATGCTGGACAGTACCCTTGTGTGCTCCCGTCCTACGGCCCAATTGAGGTCTGTTCAAACTCACTGACAGCGCCTGTTGTCTGGAAGAAGTGCTGCAAAAGGTGAGCTGCCACCACACGCCGCCGCGCATTGGAAGCATCCTACGGGCCACAGAAGGGAGCCATGAGAGTTTCTAGGGCTCCTGGGGGGTTCTTTGTTCCTGTGTTGCTTTTGTTTGTCTCTCCCTTTCGTGGTGCTATTTCGTAGGTAACCAAATTAGGGCTCAAAGCAAGCTTGATTTTGGAAGCCTAGGGGCCCCTCGCCCCTGTAGGATTCAATTTTCCAGAACTATGGCCATTTTGTAGGCTGCAAAAAAAGCAATGTGCCCAGGGACTCAAAAATTGACGAAATCCATGGGGCGGGTTTTGGGCAAGTGAGAAAGTTGCCACTTGCAATCGAAACCAGCACCCCCACATGGGAAATTATTTTAGAAGGTTCTTGCTGCCTGCATGGGGCCCATCAGCTCGTTCAGCAGGATGATGAGGCCAGGCTGTTCCACGGCATCCACAAGGCGAGCCGCAGATTCTTCTGCGATCTCGCGCATCTCTTCTGACTCCTCGAGTCTCTATATGCAGGGCGGTGCAGGACTTACGTCATGGGTGGCACACGCATGTCCAGGCTTACTGTGCTTAGGCGAGTTTCATCAGCGCTGCTTGCGACTTGGATAATCAGGGGCAGCACGTCAGACAAGTGTCCTCAGACAATCACGGGCGCAGCCCATCACTCACACCTGCATAACTCCCCCCGCCCGCCCCGTACGCTGATTTGTGTCTACGTCCATGACTCCCTGCTTCAGGGCCTTGAATTCACAAAGAGGTTCTGTCCGAGAGTCAGCTCTGGGTTGTTGGAAAAAGGGGGAACCCGATTCTCAAGCTGTAAGCAAACGCCACTGCAAGAAATACAACCATTCTGCCACGGTATGTTTGTGCTTGCGTGGGCATGCGTGCGTAGGCGTGCCTGCGCCGGTGACGGCTGGGTGTGTTGTGTTGTGTGGTGTCCGTGTTTGTGTCCGTGTGCGTGTGTATGTGAGTGTGTGCGTGTGCGTGTGCGTGTGCGTGCGGGTGCGGGTGCGGGTGCGGGTGCGGGTGCGGGTGCGGGTGCGGGTGCGGGTGCGTGTGCATGTGCGTGTGTGTGTGTGTGTGGGTGTGTGCGCGTATGCGCGTGTCTGTGTCTGTGTCTGTCTCTCTGTCTGCGTCTGCGTCTGTCTCTGCGCGAGCGCGCGTGCGTGCGTGTGGGTGTGCGTGCGGGTGTGGGTGTGGGTGTGGGTGTGGGTGTGGGTGTGGGTGTGGGTGTGGGTGTGGGTGTGGGTGTGGGTGTGGGTGTGGGTGTGGGTGTGGGTGTGGGTGTGGGTGTGGGTGTGGGTGTGGGTGTGGGTGTGGGTGTGGGTGTGGGTGTGGGTGTGGGTGTGGGTGTGGGTGTGGGTGTGGGTGTGCGGGCGCGGGCGCGGGCGCGGGCGCGGGGCGCGGGCGCGCGGGCGCGTCGGCGCGTGGCGCGTGTGCGCGGGCGCGTGTGTCGTGTGTGCGTGTGTGTGTGTGCGTGTGTGCGTGTGTGCGTGTGTGCGTGTGTGCGTGTGTGCGTGTGTGCGTGTGTGCGTGTGTGCGTGTGCGTGTGCGCGTGTGCGCGTGTGCGCGTGTGCGCGTGTGCGCGTGCGCGTGTGCGCGTGTGCGCGTGTGCGCGTGTGCGCGTGTGCGCGTGTGCGCGTGTGCGCGTGTGCGCGTGTGCGCGTGTGCGCGTGTGCGCGTGTGCGCGTGTGGGCGTGTGGGCGTGTGGGCGTGTGGGCGTGTGGGCGTGTGTGCGTGTGGGCGTGTGTGCGGGTGTGCGGGTGTGCGTGTGTGCGTGTGTGCGTGTGTGTGTGCGTGTGTGTGTGTGCGTGTGTGCGTGTGTGTGCGTGTGTGCGTGTGTGCGTGTGTGCGTGTGTGCGTGTGTGCGTGTGCGCGTGCGCGTGCGCGTGTGCGTGTGCGTGCGCGCGAGCGTTTTGCGTTTTCAAGGGTGCGGTTATTCAGGTTGGTTTAATGGGAAACCAAAAAGGCCCCCAGGTAGGGCAACATCCTATTTAGACACATGCCAAAGAAAAAGCAAGACAGCCAGTACTAAATGCTGCTGCACGGCGGTGGACCGCGTTCTTGTCGGGTACAACCGCCAAAGTAGCCAAGCCTTGCACCTTCGGGCTTTTCCAGGGCATGGGGACCAAATGCTTCGACCAAGGTGTGAACAGTTGACGCTGGTGACTCACGCGCACTGCAAAATTTGGAAGCCGCGTCCATACAATAACTCTAATGGCCTGAAGGACTGTCCATCCTTTCTTCGATGGCGAGGTCAGCGTAGCCAGCACAATGGGGAGCACTGCCCCTGCCAAAGGAGCATGCAACACATGTATGCACATATATATATATGTTTGTTTTTCACATGCTTGCACTTCACAAAGCTGCACTGACAACGTCTGCAGCTGCCCAAGCTATAGCAGCTTTATATCCCCAAGCCACAAAACGGAAGCAGAGTGGCTCCAGTCCACTCTGCTCGAGCCGCAGCTTGTTTCTTTTGCATAAAGTGCGCGCCTGGCTGCTTCTTCATAAGCTGCTCCAGGCCATGTAGGTAGAAATCACCAGAGTAGTCCTCGTCATCCTGTGGAAAAAGTGTTTTTTCAACAAGACGCGGGCGGAGGGAAGGGCTGAAGGCTGAGTTAAACCACAAGCCCAAACCAGCCCATACTTCCATAGGCAAACAAAGCTGCTCAGGCACAAAGCGATACTGCTCGCATGTCAGTGCCAGCCTCCTCCTCCTCGGCCAACTTGCTCAGAAGCCAGTCAACCACATCTTTGGTGGCGCGAGGCCCAACCGCCGTGTGCAACAAGGCGACGACCTGAGTGAAAACAGGCACCCTCCCAAAAGCAAACATGGAGCCTGAAGAAGGAGAACTTTTAGGTTTATGTTCGTTTTTGGGGGGAACAGCCCATGCACATCCAGGGCATTGTCAGGAGCCAATTTTGAACATCAAATTATCGACAAAGGCTGCATTCGTCCAGTGGTCCGGCGTCCCGAGTCGCAAATTAATTGTATGGGATCTCAATGCAAGTAGCAGTGCTGGCTTGACTCCTCACAGACTCGTCATCATCAATGATGGCTTGCTGGATTGCAGGGATCAGCTGACCCAAATACTCTGCCAATAGCTCCTGTCGTGAAAGCCGCCTGGCTGCTTGCTCCCACCCCAACGCCCCCACAACGAGTCCTTCGTAGTGGCGTTGATCAGCTCCGCCAAGCCGATGCAAACGCCCTCCCGCACATGTGGGTCGCCTCACGCCGGCAGGTGCCCCATGCACACTCTCCAAAAACTCGTTCAACAAACCCTTTGATCATACTCTTCATCCCTTATGATGAGTAATCTTCATAGGGGGTTCCTCTCCCCCCCTCTCTCTCTCTCTCTCGCGGCAGCACCGTTCCTGTCGGAAAGCCTTGGCTGGGCACGTTGGGGTTGGAGGATTCTTGGAAGTCGCATCCGCCTCTTCCGGTCCAAACCTGAAAGCCCACGGACTGGCCTTCAGACAGCGTCTCCATGAAAATTGGCATCAGCTCAGGCATCACTCGCTCTCCTGCAAAGTTGCTTCATGCAGGTTCTTACGCCCAGTGGCCATTGGCAAGCCACATCCAACCCGACTGGAGCTTGCACTTTGCTGGGGTTCAGGTTCATAGCGTGCGTCAGATTGCATCAGTAAAAACCAGGTGATTGCTTCTACTGCACCGGCTCGCTGAGTTGACAAGCTGGACAAGCTTAACAAGTGGTGAGTCTGTAAATCAAAGAGGCATCCATTGCGTTTCCCCTGTCTGATCACAAAATGCATGGGTTGCCGAGCCGAATAAATCAACATGCGTCACACCTTGAACTCACTTGAGCCCAGTCCGAGCTCCTAGCTTGCTCACAAGGTCGCCCACACAGCGCGCAGCAACACGCTGCTTCTCACGATTGGTGGAGGCCAAATTTGCCTTGCAAATGCAGCTGAGCATCCCAACCTACTAAGGTTTTGTATGGTTTCACGTGCATCTGGCGAGTAAGTACCTAATGCCGGTTTGCTGAAGCTTGGGAAATGACCACCCGCATGCTAGCTGCGAAGCACAAACAAGGTGATGCCGCAGAAACGACTCGATAGCACAGACTCTCGCAAAAACATGGGTGTGATCATTTGTGGCATGGTGAGTACATTGGTCATATCTGCTAACTTGGACTCAATCAAAACCTGTGTTCAAGTTAAACGTGAGGGCAAACATTTGCTGCATGGTGGGCTCCATCTTGGAAAGCTCTCAAGTTTGCTTTCCATGGTTGAGGAAAGTCACCGTTTCTGTGGTGTCATAGAAATTGGTCCTGAAACCCATGTTTTCCACACTCCTGTTGCTTTCGGGTGGCGATGAGGCGGGTCATCAGCGTGGGCAGCAGCTCTCGCAAGGTGCGGGGCGTGTTCTGCACCACAGCCTTCCAGACTTGGCTGCACGCCTGCTTCACCACGCCATTCCTGAGTTGAAGGGCCACAGGTCATACAGGCATCAGTAGCTTATGAGGTCGCTTACAAGGTGCGGGCCAAGCCCTTTTGCCCTCGAGCTGGAACGGGCACAAACACGCCGAGTAAAACAACTTGACGTAGAACATTGAGGTCTCCCAAAGTGGTCTGGTTGCACCATGGCCTGCATGGTTACACTGTTTTTGGCAACCAACGTCAACCAACCCTGCCGGAAGGACATCGATAGAAGCGGCCAAGGTGGTGCAACTCCCAGGGTGAAAGGGGAGGAGGCACGCCCTTTTTGTTCGCCGACGCCAGCCAGCCCAAAATTATTGGCACGCACATGTGGGTTGCCAGAGTCCAGCCAAGCGACTCTACACATCCGAAAATGAGACTTTCCCAAAAGAAGGGCCTGGGCCTGGGCACTATGCTTGACTTTGGCTGTGCTAACTGCAGGCCTTTGGACGAGCCTTTGCTGGCAAAGCCTTGAACGGAGTTGCTGGCAGGGTTAGGCCGACCCCTAGTTCAAGCAGATTCGAACAACGTTTTCACCCACCTTCTTTTGGTTTCCCTTCTGCAGGGTGGAAGGGTCACACTTTTTACAAGTTTGCCACCCTGGTTGCTGGCAAGCATCTCATCACTTCGAACTATGTAGAGTGAGGCGAGCATGTGGCAGCGCCATTCCTTTGGCAGGACTTCCACCTGCATGAGCTCGGCACTGTTTGTGGGGATGCGGTGGGCTCGCAAGATCTGCTGGATCCTCAGGCCAGCAGAAGTGAAACCGCGCAAGTGGACCAACAATCCAACATTTAATTTAGGACTGACGCCACAGCCGCTCACGGTTCTTGGGAGGTTTCAGCGTCAAAACTATTGAGGTCATGAGATGGCCGTTCCGCAGACCTGGTAAGTGAGGGCTCTTCCAGCCACATGTTTCCATCTAGAAGGTTGGGCCACTTGCAGCAAACTCTGTTGACCAGAAGCACCAAACGTGAGGGTGTACTTTCGGGCGACTTAACGAGTTTACGTAAGAAACCCGGATGCCATTCTCCTTGATTCAAGCAGCTCAAGCGCTCCCCGATGTTGCAACCCAAGCAGGGGCGAGCACCCAAAGCAAGTCACAGGCTGGCCTCCAATTCGCAGGTTGCCAGTTCACGAGTGTCACCCCGCTGCAAAAGGCGCTTCCGAGAACCGCCCCCGGCTGCTCAAACACTTGCAAGCTATTACAGCTTCGTCTGGTGCCATTCTCACAGAAGAGGCTAAAATTGCTAAACATGCGGGAACCATATTTGTACAGACCAAGCCCTCCATAATCCGTCCACTGCACGCCCCACAGCTACACGTCTGAAAAACGAGCGGCAACTGGCCCATGAGTTGGACGGCACCATGTCGAATGCGCCAGTCCACATCGAAGACGCCCTCACCAAAAGGCGCAACAAAAACGTCGGAGGCTGGGAACCTGGAGCAGCCACAAATGAGGGCAATTCCGTGGGGCCAGGACCCCAAAGAAGACAACATTTTGTGAGACAGTTGGTCTTTAGTTTCATGGCGATACAAGGAAATGCTGCAACTGTGTCTTAAACACATTTGCTGATATACTGAAGGCTCCTCCACGTCGAGCATCATTCTCAAAGTGGCCAACTGCGAGCATGTGAAGCCTTTTGTGGCCGCATCGCTTTCATAACTGGGCAGCGCAGGATATTCTGACCATTGGAGGCAGTGGCACGTTGTGACTGAAGTGGTGGATGCCTGAGCCTCCCTCTGCAAACCTTCACTTCCAGCCTCTTCCAAAGGTGGCAGAAGCAGAGCTGTGTGCGAAGAGCCGAAGTGCTTGGTGATGGTTTGCGCCGCCTTGCAGGGTCGTGGCAAATGCCGGCCAAGTCCCAACCGATTTCGGCCCAAATGAATGAGGAGGCTGCTTAGGTCAGTCCCTAGCCTTGCCGCAAACTTGCTGACAGAACCCAAGGCTGCCCACAAACACTTCTTGATCCCAGCGTTGGAGTGCCTCCCCCCCCGGACAAAAAGGGTGACAAACGGGGCTTTTGGACAAGGACCACAAACAGCAAACAACGATCCACTTCTAACCTCGCCTTGAAAGCTGTATCCCGCACTGAGGTCACATCATCCGACATACCGTTCAGCAACATAGTCATCACCTCTTCGATGTATGGCCTGTGCTGCAGTTGTTGTCAGGCGTGCGCTGGCAGATTCAAGAAACTGACTGACTGAGCCTCAAAAAACCATTTGCTTCCCAGGCGCTCAAATGCATTCCCCATTGCCACAGGGAGATAGACAAAAAGCCCCAAGTAGCCTTCCCGAGATCCAGGGTCTGCTTCCTGCCAAGGCTGAAAATTTTGGCTGGAGCGCAGGTGCCACAAAAGGCTGTCGGATTTGTCACGGCCTAGCTGCGCAGCTGCAAGAAGCATTGCTGGCTCGTCGAACCAGCCGGTCCTTGTTGCTGGCATTGCTGAGGATATCTGGCAAAAGCCTCGCAAGTTGCACCAAATCATCGTTGTACACCAAATGGAACCGTAGTCGTGTCTATTGCAGGGCGCTATACGGTCGTGCGTCTCTCCCGAACTCTCAGCCTGTGACGCTTTGACTTGCTCAGAGGCTTACTCATTTACTCATTCATTCATTCATTCATTCAATCACCGTCCTTCCTTCCTTCCTTCCTTCCTTCCTTCCCTTTTTTCCTTCATTCAATTCATTCAATTCATTCCTTCATTCCTTCATTCCTTCATTGCTTCATTGCTTCATTGCTTCAGTGCTTCAGTGCTTCACTCCTTCACTCCTTCACTCCCTCATTCCCTCCCTCCCTCCCTCCCTCACTCACTCACTCACTCACTCACTCATTCATTCAGAACCGTACCGCTTAGCAAACGGTGGAACCGGGAACGTACCACTCAGGAACCGATGGAAGCAGCAAGGAACCAATGAAACGAAAATCACAAGGAGCAAGACGTGGTAATACATTAAGGATGCAAAAACGAAAACCGCGTTTTCAAGAATTCCTTTCTATACGTGCACCCTCGCTTTGCACGAGGGCTCGCAACGTGGACTCCGCCTCTGCGCCGACGCCTAGCGCGCACCTTCTTACTTCGAGCCCTCCTCCTGTACGTGATCCCCCTGCGTGTCTACATGAAGGCAGGGGTCCACGAGATGCCTTCCTGCTGTGATGCAGGACGCGTTCTTGAGACACAGGCCTCAGTGGATGGTTATGATGCGACGTTCGATGTAGCGCCTCTAAGGCAATGCGATTTTGCTGTTCTCGACGTGTTCCGCTTCTCACATGCCTGCGGAGGCGGCTAAGGGTGTTGGCGCTCGTGACAACACGCGATGTTGCGACATAGGTTGTCCAGAACCATCTGCGCTGGGCACACCAAATCTCAACTAATTCGCAAATCAACAACAGCCAGCACCCGCCAGCGCCCGTTGCGTTTTGCCTGCTGCTACCGTTGCAGCTACTTAGCGTCCACCCATGCTCTTTTACAAGTCTGTGGGGTGGCTTCGTGCGAGGCCTAGTGATGCCACGGCCTGAAGGCCGGTCGGCCGACGGCATCGGTGTGTTGCCCAGAAAGGCGCTCCGTCGCAGCTCTCCTGCAAGAGCCACCTGTGGCACAAAGCCAACTTAATTAAGGCTGAGACGCGCGTGGCTCAAAGGTTATTGTGGCTCAGCACCCGTCCAACGACGCTTCTCTGAAATGAGGGAAGCCAAGTCAGGTTGACGTCACCGTCGAGTTACAGAAGAATCTGTCCGGGGCCGCCAGCTCGCAGCGATTTTTGGGGCCAGCGACGCCTTTGGTTGTTTTTCTTGCTTCTGAGTCCGTCCTTGAGCTCTGCTGGCAGTTCACATCCAGGACCCCCTCCTCGCTGCTGAAGACTGCGTCGCAGTACTGCCGTGCCGTGGCTGCAAGGTCCTACTCTCGCACGTGGTGCACGTTTGCAGCTGTCTTCCACAGCCGCCGCACCGGTGCACCTGGCACATCTGCTGCTGGCAGCTCACACTTCCGGGCCAGTCTGATCTCGACCTTGAACTGCTGCGGCTGAACCCGTTTGGCTCGTCGGGAACTGGCGCCTGCAGGCGCTTGCGCAGGTGCTGCCTCATAGTTGGCAGCCCACACCCAGTTGCTTCTTAGCAGACACTGCGCGCCTGCAGCCTTGTCAGACCCAACCCCTCTGCGCCCCTACGTCCACGGGCGCAAGCTTTCCAGCTCAGCTGCGTCTCTTTGGTTGTTGTCCGCGATTCTTTGAATTTGCTTTGCTCCCTGGCTTGTCCTGCCTCGTTGGCCTCATGCTTTTGAAAGCGTTGCGCCTTTGGCCGGCCCGTGGCTGCAATTTGAAAACGCTCCATCAAATAACCCCCGCATCTCGCCCTCTGCTGGCATCATCATGTGGCAACTGTTCAACAACCGCATCTCTACCTTGGCAAATCACTTGGGAGAGCTCATTCTGAAAATTTCTTCAAGCGCCACGAGGTTTGTGCTGCTGGCTGTCGCGCCGGCAGGGTGGGGCGACCCTTGTGTGCTACCATTGATCAAGCCAACAGCCAGGGCTCCATGGCCGGCATCGTCTGAGCTGCTAGGCCCCAGCTCCCCGGACTGCATCTTGCAAAGCTCCGCCGATTGTCTCAGGTGGAATCACCAGCAACAGCGGCTTTCTTACTGCAATTGCTGCGGCAGGAGGCCTGGGGGCCATACGTCGCCTGCCTAGTACAGAACCAGGTTTGCTCGAGAAAAGGTTGCGGGCCAAATGTTTGCGAGAATGTCATCCCCTCTACGACATTCACTTCATTTCTGTAATTGCGTTTTATTTCGTGTCACGCCATGTCATTTCGTGTCATTTCCTCTGATGTCGTTGCATTTCGTCCAGTTCATGTCACTCGCTCCATTTCATTCCACGCTCGTTCACTCCGCTTCATTCATTCCGTTTCCCTCACTTCATTTCACTGACTCCATGTCATTCAGTTGACAACATGAATTCCATTTCAGTCAGCCGATTTCATTCAATCCAAATCAGTCATTCCATTTCAGTTACCCAATTTCACAAGTTCATTCCATTTCACTTCGCCTCAATCCACCCATTCTCACACACACAAACACACACACACACACAGACACACAAACAAACACCCACACACACAAACAGTCACACACACACAAACAGTCACACACACACACACACACAAAAACAGTCACACTCACACTCACACTCACACTCACAGTCACAGTCACATTCACATTCACATTCACATTCACATTCACGCACACAGACACACACAGACACACACACAGAGAGACACAGAGAGACACAGAGAGACACAGAGAGACACAGAGAGACACAGAGAGACACAGAGAGACACAGAGAGACACAGAGAGACACAGAGAGACACAGAGAGACACAGAGAGACACAGAGAGACACAGAGAGACACAGAGAGACACAGAGAGACACAGAGAGACACAGAGAGACACAGAGAGACACAGAGAGACACAGAGAGACACAGAGAGACACAGAGAGACACAGAGAGACACAGAGAGACACAGAGAGACACAGAGAGACACAGAGAGACACAGAGAGACACAGAGAGAGAGACACACAGAGACACACAGAGACACACAGAGACACACAGAGACACACAGAGACACACAGAGACACACAGAGACACACAGAGACACACACAGACACACACAGACACACGGACAAAAATACACACATGCAAACATGCACACATACGCACCGGCATCTCAGGGAAGTCGTTGAGGCAAGGCGCGTCGCAATTTGATCTGCGCCCTTTGCCATGAGCACCTTGCAGGGCCACCAGGTCAAGCCAGCGAGTATCCAAGGCGATGGAAGATGGAACGGCTTGCGCGCAATTTGACCATCCCAGCTTCAATTTTGACCCCAGCATGCACACCAAGCGGCTGATTAAAATTAGAAGCAGCTAACCCCCCCCTTGTGCACCGCAAGACTTACTTTGCATGAACAAAGCCACGGATGGTTGTCCAGCCAATTGGCGGAGCGTCAAAACTTGAAATTCCAAACTAAATGGCTGACGACTGTTTGGCTTCCACCACCACCACAAGGGAGTCAAACCAGCATTTCCCCAGGCTGGTTTGATCAGGGCCTACCAGAAAATTTGACCCTCTTTGCGCCTGAAATAAACACAGAAACCACGGCAAAAGCTCGGTAAGGTCGAAACGCAACCATCAAGTTGGGTCACACATGACGACACCAAGAATGGAGGACATGCCACCAAAAAACAGAACCAACTTTGCCTGTTCATAGTAAGGAACTCTAAAAATACCAAGCATATCCAAGCATGCACGAACCGCCGCTCCAAATGACCATGACAACTCCGCACAGGATCCCCTATTTAAAACGCAGTTCCCCTCCATCACCCAGAGATGGCCCAGCAAGAAATATTAGTTTAGTGTGCAGCAGGGGAACGCCCAATACATTCCATACAACCCAAATCGTTTCTTTGTCTTCCCCCGAAAGTTACTGCAGTCCCGGAGTTGCGCAGGCGAAATCCCCCTCAAGTACTCACTGAGAGTACCAATTTTGAGATATTCTGAATGTCTCGGCTGGTGAATTGTGTCGAGTAATGTCGCTGGGGCATCTCACGAACAGTTCCACGAGACTAGAAAGCATCTCTTCGTAGTGGAGGCAAATGACCAATGCTTAGTTGCCAGCCACCGCAGAGGCTCACCCAAATCGGACTATCATTTTCCCTGCAGATTCATGTCCATCAAGCGCTTCCGTGGGCGCTGCAACCATCAAACATCATAGCCAAAAGCCACTTAATTGACCTTGCTCCAGGGTTCGCCCACATTCACCGTTGATCCTTGTTGGGCCAATAGCCGGCTGAAGAACCAGATAAGAACTCGGCTCCTCAGCCCTCCGAACCAGCCTCCGACAAGCCATGGGCCGCACCGCTGCGTTCCACCGCGGACTCGCAGGAGCGGAGGCTCTCGAAGAGCCAAGGCAAGACGTCGCCTGAGCGTCGAAAGGGGCTCCCGGTTCAAAACAGGGGCCGCCAGTCGAAGGATGGATAAATCCCCCTCCCCCTCCGGAGGATGTTGTTCAAGCACAAGGGTGGAGGCTCCCAGCTGGGGAGGGGTGCACATCCATTGTGAACAGCCTTGGAAAGTCTCAGATACAAACACACCCATTCTCGGCGAGCGTCCCAACATCTCCTCGGGCAGGGCGTTCGCCAAGGTACCAAACGCCTTTGCGGAAGTTGCGCGCCTCAGTTTGAGCACCTCTCTCTCCCAATTGTCAAAGTGTACTGCCCTAGAATCATCGGATTCCAGATTTGAACGATGAAGAAGCATTATCGCTCCATTCCTTCTTAGACTAGCCTGATCTGCAGTGCTCTTGCCGTCAAGGAAGGACGCCAGAAAGCGAGTGGGGTAGGGCGTGGGCCCTATCTTTCATGGCATTTGCACACACGAAGGACCAGCTCTGTTTCCAAGATAAGAAAAATAACTCAGAGATGGCTCGCCAGGCGAAGGCATTAAACAGCATAAATCCTCTTTTGAGTCGTTTCTCTCGTGAGTCTTGGCTTGCAGGCAGTACATAGTGATGGCAAGGAACGAGGAAGGGATCAAGGGATGGGATAAGGAATGGTCTCGGATGAAAGCCAGAAAATGCTTGCCAAAAAAATAACACTCGCATTTTACCCTTCTCTTGTTTCTTATCTCTTCAGGGGCACTCGTCTAGGACCCACACCATTGGATTCAGGTGCAACTTCTTCAATAACTCCTACACCTGACGCATCTTCATTGAAAGGACCTAATGGCTGCTCGGTTTCACCCCTGCCGTCGGTGGAATCGCTCGACACCATGGGCTTCCTTCAAGGCACACATCAGGAATGGGATCCACCAAGGTAACCTTGAGCTGCGGAATCAGCAAGGGCAGGTATGGCTGGATGTCTTTGGCATCCTGCAGCAACAAACTGGTTTTCAGAATAAAACAGGAGGTTTTAGACCTTACTCAGCTGAACATATCCGCCAAAATGATGACGCTCTCTTGGCCATGCACTGGAGCAAGCGTGCGTGTGCATACGAAAGATGTGTGTAGCCAACTTTTACGTGTGAAATGTCAAGCCTTGATGGCGAAAGCTGAATGCAGCTGATCCTCGGGGTCTAATGGGTTTCTCGTTTCCAGCTTTGCCTAAGCTTGGCACAGCTCTGTTTTCTACCTCCGCCCCTCCCAGTTTTGTTTTTTTGCTTTTGCGCAAGTGGATTCAATCAAAACAACCCAAGCGCTTTCCATGGCGAGTCCTTGATGAGGAGCACCATGGAGCCCACCATCTGCGCACCTTTCCGCTTCATGTCCGCGGACCTCTCCTTCATGGCCCGGTGGATGAGTGGACACACCTGCAAACTCCAAAACGGTTCTTTTTTTTGTGAATGTGAATGTTGAATTTTGCTGCGGGGATCCTTTGGTGCACATTATTTGGGTGGGGATTCATGTCCGCCAGCCCCGTTTGAGGTGGTTCCCAATAGAATTCATAGCCACATTAAAGATGGCTGGTTTTTACGCATAGGGAGGTCCCAAGAAAAGGTCGCTGGTCAATGGAAGTTCCAAGTCGTGAAGAATATCAACATGCCGAGCATAAAGTTTGGCACTTTCCGGCAGCCTGGCAAACAGCACTAGGAGATCTAGCGGTCTAGCGCCAACAACATGTATGAAAGCAAAGTGAAACATCACCTTACCGCCACCAGTCCACCTACGCCGCACTGCGTGTTTGGCGGCTGTTGAGCGCACCTGGACGTTGGTTGTGTGGCTAGGGCCACATTGGACCAAGGCGCTAGGGACAAGGACGCAGCATCGATATGGTGGACGAAGGATGTTGCCAAGAGCTTGTCCAGCACATCTCGTGTGATCTGCTCATACCTCAAGAGGCAGCGTTTTGCACGTTTTGCCACGAGCTGGTGTGCCCAGGCTTTCCCCCTTGACCTTAGGCCCGCTAAAAGACAACAGTTGCCTGGGTTGCCTTTACACTTTGGGAGGAGATAGGTGGATCCTAACAAAAACAACCCAAAAGTGATCTAAAGGAACACCTGATATCAAAGACATCTGGTTCTTTGCACTCGTTAATGGTGATCCCTGCGTTCAAAGAACCGATTCCTCCCCGAAGCCAGGCGGCTGCGCCCCATCCGTGAGGGCGCTGATCAGCTCCGGCGCGATGTTCCGAAGCTCTGGGCCTGGCGTTCGGCCGACGTCGCCGGTCTTTTGCGTATGTCAAAAGACGAACTAGAATATGTTGTCTTGAAGGGATGTTCGTTCTTTCTTTTGCCGGCGAAGCACTTTGGTTTCAGTTGAGAACACACCAAGCAAAATTGGATTCAAGGGTGGCGCTGAACAAGTGGGGGGTCTGCAGATGAGATACGCCGCAAAACTTCCCGCAAAAGGGTCCCCTTCAAGAAAATAGCATAAACATACTAAAAGGACACAAAGGGAACAGCAACACGTATCAACTACAATCATTCAGCTGGGCCCACAACAAAAGAGTCTTTCGGCACTGGTGAGATTGCTCCCTCTCATGTGCAAACACAACGCACAAGGGGCGTCCTTGTGATCAAGACTTCGCCCGGCAGGGTTACAGTGCTAGGCTGCTTGAGGATGTATGTGCGTACAAATGCCCCGTGCGCATCTAGCATCGTTGGCATGATTCAATGATGAGCATGTGGGACAATGAAGCAGCGAGCGAACACAGCCAGGCGAAACAGAGGCCATGTCAATCAACGGATTCGTTGAAGTCAGCGATAAGCCTCTGGGCCTCTGGGCAAGTAATACGTTAAAATAGGGGGACCCCAAAATTGTGGGGTTCCTTTTGGCTGCCCTTTCAGTCAAGGGAATTGGGTAGCCTCAAAAACTACACACCCAATGAATCCTGGGTCTCAACTATCGCCAAGGTGCTGCTGATGATGCTGCCCACTTTGTTGATGGCTTCTCTCGCTGCTTCCTTCACCTGGCCGCTGTGGTCGGAGGACACGCTCCAAGTGAGCTCTTGTCAAAAACCTTGACCAGGTCCATCAAATAGACTGTGCAGTTGAGGATACCGCCACAACCACTTTGAGGGACCCAGCTTGAGCGCCGCGAGTCTATCTGGACCCTAGGACCGAGAACTGGGCAACTTCTCACTGCGCAGATCCAGCCGGAAGGGCGAGCCTTCGCATGCTGGTCGTTGATGACGGTGCACAAGGCCGGCACCACCTCGCTGCGAAATGGGTGCCGTTGCATCCGGCAGCTGGCCGAGGGTAAACAGGGCGATAAAGGACCAGCCACGTGCCATTGTATGTTCAAAGTCTGTCCCCCGCCCTGTTGAACATGCAATTAATTACGCTTCCTGCACATGTACTAATCCCAGGAATGTACTGCTTCAATGTTGGTCTCCTTGGCAACTGTTAATCAAGGAACCATGAGACCTTAGTCTGTGTTTTGCGCCTCAACACGCGTTGACCAGTTGAAGGTGGACTCGCATGTACGCGCCCACGCGCCTGGGGCAGGCAGGCCGCGAGCTGCTTGGGCAAACAACTGGTCATGGAAGCCAGGAGCTCGATGGAGCCCAACTTGGTGCGCCACCTAAGGGCAACAAAAGGCCATTGGAGAGCTCGGGGGACGGTGGAAACTCCCAGCACATCCCAGCACTATCAGGCTAAATCTCAACATGCAGGTGGCTAAGCCACCCTCTTGCGACACGAAAGGACCATCGGGTACAATTGGGGACTTGCCGTGAGGCATGATGGGGAAGATATGTACGCCTGTTCGAGTTGCGGATGGTCAATGTCGGCTTGACGGAAACTGGCAAGAAGTGCCGCTTGAGGAAGGCAACCCTCCACCCCCGCATCCGGGAAGCAACTGACCAAATGGGAAGAAGCAGCATGGTGCTTGTTCCCACCTTGAACAGCCACCAAACTATATAATCTTCGGCTGTGGCCAGAATGATCCACTGTTCCTGTTCTAGCCGATGCCTGCTTTGAAAAGCTGCGTATTTCTTGGCCCACACAACAAACACCCGTCTTGCTGAGGAGGTTGCAACACGTAGAAGTTCTCCCTGCTGGTGGCAGCGCAAAAGAAAGAAACCAACACCAATCCATTCATCTCTGCCGCGCTGCTGTTTGTCCTCAATGCCCGCTAGCAGCGGCTTGAGAACCTGACGACGAAATGACATACCCGGCTCTTTCCTTCGACCACCGCGTTGAGGAGTCTCTCAAGTCAGCAACAACATCCGCTGCCATCTTCTTCAGCCATTCCTGCCTTTCACGGCCTCTTCTTCCGTGAAACATGGCTTGTGTTCCGTGCAGTTCATGCTTTGGTCAGGCCACATAGGTTCGATTCGCAAGCAGGCAAGCCGGAAGGCCAAACCTGCGAACATGCTTCTCAAGACATACACTATCTTTCAAAACACTGAACCACTTTGGGTCAAACTTCCGTTCCAAAACGGCCGCTCCGGACACTCCAGCCCTGGCCCACCTGTTTCACTCCTGGGCCGCTGAGCTGTGACATCATTGCCCCAGCAGCCACCTGTCAGGTTTGCCAAAGATTCCACGGGGAAAGCAAAAGACAGACTCAGGGCCCACTCAAGCGCAGCAAGCAAATGACCACCCAAAAGGACACAAGCTCACCTACTCGAAGCCCTGTGCCTGCGAGGCCTTTTGCACGCCCCGCTGGGAATCGGAGAAGGCCTCACGGAGCATAGACAATGAATCGAAGACCGACCATCCAAAGCAAGCAGCTCAGCTGTCAACCAACCAACAAAGGAAGCCAAGCATCGGAGCCAAGCCAAGCTAGCCGAAATGGTAATTACCCTTCCCTTTGAATATGGCATATGCCACCCCATCCACTGCCCATGGCCTGGAGCAGCAGCGGCAAACTTTGCACCACGTATGGGTCGAACAGCCGGCCTCGCGACAAAGCAACCCGCTGCTACCACTGGAACCTGACAGATGTAAGGCAAACAAGCTCAGCCGGATCAAACCAAGCTACAAATTCGAAGGTTCCCTACTTGTGAGTTTTCGAAGCTTCATGTCCAATTTGACTTTGATGTGATTTACTCGGTTGCTTCGACGTTGATTGGAGACCAGCTCGGGCACTGCTTGGTGGTTTACTGGTTCACGCGCCTGCAAACTAACATGCAATCCTAAATAACCCTAAATGAGCTTCCTCTAATACATTCTAGATTCCATGCTGATTTGCGGGAGGGTCGCATTTTCAGGCGTCTCAAGGCCCCGCATGGCCCCGCCTAGGTTCAGAGTCAAGCCCTCCAAGCACAGCAAGGCTCCCTCACGCACAGCTGCACTCTTTTTGTCCTGCCAGGGCAAACAAAACGAGGCCAAAGCCACCTGCAAAAATGGGCGCCCCGTTGCTTGAATGGAAACCGACAGAAAACCAATTGCACAACGTGAGTGCTACACTGGCTTTACTTGGCTGACGTTTGAGGTGCGCTGAGCATTGATTAGCAGCATGATCCACACGATCAAACCAGTTTCAAGCGCACCATGAACAACAAACCACTTCACGATTTGGCTTGCGAGGGGACGTGGCCGATTTTTTTGGCCTTGTTGGCAAAGGTTAGGGTTGGGTTTGGAGGTAGGGTTGGCCGTAGGATGGGCCTAGGCTTGAGTTAGGGAGGGGGTGCCGGTTGGATTGGGGTGGGTTCAGTTTAGGATGGCTGCCTGCGTTGATTTTTGCAGTTGAGGGTTGATTTGGGATTCTAGTTGCGGTTTGACTTTGTGTTTGTTGACGCTACAGTTGGGTTTGGATAGTGTTTGGCGTTTGGTGTCTCATTTGGTTTGCGGGTTTCGTGTTAGTTTGCCTGTTCGCTTGCGTGCTTGGATTGCTCGCTGAACTTTAGGAATGGAAACCAATCGTCACGAAAAAGGGAACCCTGCTTGAGGTGCAAAAAAGCATAACGTCTTTATGGAGTGGCTCAAACTTGGGACCCCTTTCTCAAAAACTTTACAGGCAAACCAATGGGACAACTAAACCAGCTTCACCACCCAGCCAACCCAACCCAATTCAACCCGGCGGCCGGCGCTAGCCAAAAACAACCCGCCGGTTCCTTATTTGGTTGTGTCAAACTGGAAGCCACTTTCAACAGGGTACCCTCCACAAACACACCACTTTGACACATACTGAAAAGTATCTTACTCAGCTCTAGGTCCGCTGCGGAGCGGACTGTTACTTGAGCCAAAACACAGCCTGTACAAGCGTATTGGGCATATATGGAGCAACAATTTGTCCCTCCTCCTTGCTGGTGGAGCAGCCCTCATGGGCTGACTACACAGCAAACCCCCAAGAACTCGTAGCGGAGCCTGGACCAGGGACCTTCAAGGTCCGAGCAGTCCAAGGTGACCCTTACGGCGTGCAAAAAAGAAAGCGTATCCTGATCTACCAAAGTCTCTTCCATCTGTACACCAGGCATGCTCTTAGTAAGCGTCGGTGCGGTTGCGCTTGCCTGGGACATGAATGACCTTAAGGTGGTCCGAGATATCTGGTCTGGGTATGTCTAGCTTTACCTAATCCGATCCTATTTATAGTACCCTTAGCAGCAGTAGCGTCTGATTCTACTATTACAGAGATGGGAACTTGAAAATCTTCGAATAAGGCTTGCAACCCTAGTCCTACCGATCCACCCTTCACCCGAGCGTACTCTGACTCGCCGGTTGGTTTGGCAAACGTTGACTGCACGTTGCTTGCGTGCTTCAAAACATGCTCGCCACACACAAAGCGATCATACCTGTCGTAGACCGACGGAGCCGACCTGAACCCGCAGCTTCGATGCCTTTGCTTGTCTCAAAAACACTTGGCTAATATCAGGATTCTTGGCCAAATACCTGCGTAGCCGCTTCACAAGTCCTGCAGAGATGCCTCAGTCGGTGCAACCGTCTTCCTTGAAAGGTTCTTCGCAGCATGACGCAAATCAGGCCTGCTCGCATAACACACGACCGATACATGGATGCCACGTCCTCCGGAAGAAGTGGACTGTTGGCCGTCTCCACACCCTTTGCGCTGGCCACGCCAAGCTGTTGAACTAGTAGATCAACACGCCGTCTGTCAGGTTCCAAGAAAATGGCACTAGATCCTTGGTGAACTCCACAATGGATCAAACGATTCAAGAAATGAACCTTGTCGTCACCGACTTCGTCTCGCAAAGTTCCGAGCCATTTCAACTCATAGGGGTCTTGAGGATATCGTTCAAACATTGAAGAGCTTCTTGATCTCCCAACGCCATGAAGTCATCCCCATGCACGAGTACTCTGGTACCGTCAGGGTGGCAGAAAGCAGAACCGTTGGAGCGCCCCCTCACGAACTTGTTGTCGATGAGAAGCTTCGTGTAGTGAGCTTGCCAAATAGCCGGTACGTTCTGCGTACCATACATCAACTTTTTCAGCATCAGGCAACTCGATGTAGATCTTCCGCTTGGGCGTCCCATAAAAGTGAGCTCTGGAAATGTCCCAGGTTCCAATCTTGAGAGGTTTCCCTTAGCGGAGACTTTCTCCGTTGCCCACAAGCTGCACAGCAATCGCATCGCCTCCAGAGGCGGCGTCAAGCTGAACAGAGGTTCTGCGGCAGTTTGTCCCTTGATTTCTCGAACAACCAATCTTGATCTAAAGTTCGGGTGTGCCGGGTCCCCTTTGTTAGTGTCTAGCCATCGCACGCCAATAGGCTTGCGTCCGCCAGTGTCCTGGAGGCCCTGCTCCACCGGGACCTTCTCGTGCACCACTTGCTTGTGGAGATACTCCGTCTTGAACTGTCTGGCTTTCTTCACCTCTCCGGCTGGCAAAATGCCGTTGAAATCATCCCAATATTCCTCTATGTCTTCTTCACTGACGTTCCTCGGCTCGATCGATACCGCCGATCAGGTGAATGTGTGTGTGTGCCATGGTTTGGCACCTGTCTTGTTTGTGGTCATCCATCCTGTCTCCTTTCTCACATACCCTGTGCCTTGGAGCCCTCGCTTGTCGGTCTCTATAGACCATCGGCACATGGGACCTCTGACGAGGTGCTCGGTCTTTGAGACCAAGTAGCACTTCTTGTAAAACCTGCGTGAAGTATGCAAGTGGCGCAGCGCCTTGTCCATTTTCACTCGGCGCTGATCAGCGCTGATCATGTTGATGTTCAACTGAGGGAAAACTGTCGCATGAAAGACTACCAGTCAACAGGGTCGGCTCGTCCTTGTCGATCAAAGCTTCAACTTGCGTCACATCTTCCGGGCTCAGAAGATCCCAACAGGATCCGTCCGGCTTCTGCTTCTCTACAGGCTTTAATCCAAACCTAGCCTCTCCTGTGAATCTCTTCGGGCTATACACCACCATCACATCCACAGCACCCAGCTCGCAACAGAGAACCGTAATGGAGTTGAGCTCCTCGTGCGTGATGTCCATTTCGTAGGCTTTGTAAGCTCGTTCAACCTTCCTTTCAGTCATGTTCTTCACCATCGTTTTCAATCGACTCAGGCTCAGTCCGCTCGCGTCCGAGCGCCGTGCCTATTCGGTTGAAACTCCGGCTTTTGCAGCCGGTGTAGTATTCTCTCTCAACTCTTCTGCAGTTACCTCTGCTGTCCGCTTCTCTCCCTGAGAGGGCTGGACATTCAACTTGGGTCCAAGTTCCCCAGGCCTCTCTTTGAGATGCTGGGCTTGTCCTTGCCTTAGCTGACGGTGATCCGGGATCTACTCCCGGTGCATCATTCCGAGTCCTTCATCTCACGTGGCCTGTTGCCTCGCGCTCTTCCGCCTTGGCCCGTGTAGGGGCTTCTGGCGCTCTCACAATGGCCGGAACGGCCATCTCGACTTCTTCTTCCTTTCCAGCATTGCGTGGAACACCATCTATCTGGTTCTCCGTCATGCTCATCTCCTTGTCCGGCTGGCACGGCATCATCTGGCGCAAGTAGAAGTTGTAGACACCATTCTCTTGCTAGACCGGGATCCAGGTCTTGGCCTGGTCGGTACTCTTCCTTCTTGCGGGATCACATTCCCGCCATCTGCGTCAAGCACTGAACCGAGCAGCCAAGGGTCCAGTCACACTGCACCATTGTCCTGCTTCTCCTACTCCTTTGAAGATTCCTGTTCCGGTCCCATGACCCCTTCCACGCTCTGGAACCTCTTTGCATTGGTCAGTGCATCCAACTCAAACGTGCCAACATCATGCTCTGTTCTGCCTCTTCTTCCTCTGCCTCATCCAATCATTGGCAGCCTTGGACTTACCCTGACCTTTAGGCTTTCCGCCTTTGCTTGTCTGAGACTTTTGAGCCTTTGTTTGAGCCTTTGCCAGGATCTTTCGTCTTACTCCAGCAGTTTGCTGCTCTATGTCCCAGGTTCAAAAAAACGTACAGCGTACAAGTATTTTTCGTACAGCGTCCAGCTTTTGTCCGGCCGGGGCAACCTGCCCTCCTTTTTTGGATAGACACCTTTTTGGACAGACGGCTTGCGGGTAAGCCACAAACTCTCATGTTCTAGCCGTTGCGGCCCGATCCGTCAGGCAACGCCTTGCAACAAAAGGGCCAGAGGCGTCGGCGTGGCGCCAAGGGCCAAAGGCGCCGGCGCGGCGCCTTTGTGACACTTCGTGACCATTTCTCTCCTCACGTACTCATGGCGCTGTTTATGCCGCGACGAACGCGCAACACTGGAACATTACAGCGACGCTGGACAGCTCGCAGGGCCCGCCCGTTCTCCGGCATTTCTGTCGCGCCAGCCAAACGCGGCAAACTGTTTCGCCAAAGCCAAACAACATTCTGCCGCGCCGGGCGCTTCGGCGGCTCACGCAACCGCAAGAAACGTGGCCCGCGCCAGCTGTTCCGCCGCCCGTGCAAAAAGTCATGTAGTCCGTACAAAAAACCATGTGGTTCGACGCGTTTCGACGCTTTTTCTCGTTTTTCGGCACTTCTTCCGGCGCTGCTATATTTTTTCAATGTCCAATTTTGTTGGCACGCTGGCGTTGCGCAAGGGTTGGCGCTGCCTGCGCCCGGGCCTTCCCCCAGCAAGCGCGCACCCACTGCACAGCGCTCCCCCCTTTCGCAAGTTGAAACAATCTGAAACTTGCTAGCTTGTTGCTGTTTGCTGTTCAGCACCTCTGCTTTTTGTTGAACAGCGCCTCGATCGCACGCTTGGGCTTCGTGCGCGGCTCGCACCTTTTTGATCTTCTAGCGCGCGGGTGGCTCGAAGATGACAAAAGACGCTAAATTGACACGCTGCGCGGCAAAGGGAAAAACGTTCTCGTCTTTTCGTACATTCGCCTTAGATGTTTCGTACATTTGCCCTTTTTTCCTCCGTACAAAAAACCATTTTTGGCAGCAAGCTAATTTCGTGCAACGTTACTGCTGTTGATCGCCTGCGTGAAGCTGTCAACGTCCATTGGAGCGGGTCCCTGACTGAAACTCGCTGTACCTGGGCGATTTGGTCGGGACCTGAATCTCAGCAGGTGTTTAGGCGGTTCCTGTGGGAATAAGATGCTTCTGTCTCTACCGAAAAAATCATTTCCAAGGCAACACTCTGTATGTCATCCGAAAGCCGTTCTCTCACCTGTGTCGGACCTACGGCTTTCATACCTGCGGACAAGATCGTCCAGCTGTTCGATTGCTGCCCTCACTGAATCCCAAGATTTAACCCGTTCGGGATTTAAGATAGTTCCTCTTTCTTCCTGCTCTAAAAGGTCCCATCTCTATGAAAGAAGTCGGAACAACTGGTCGCCCTTGTCAGCCAGGCCGGCGCGTCAGCGCGCTCTCCTGCGTCAGCGGATGCACCGTGATCATCCGCCCGAGTGCCTGCTGAACCGGCTGTAAGGCCGAGGAGCCCAAGCCGCTCGCCGCAGAAGAAGCGCAGGGTACAAAGGGCACTCACCCGCCGCAGAGGGCCCAGCTCCTCATCCGAGGAGCAACCGGCAGCCGCGACAGGGACAGGGTTACTGTATTGCCGGAGGTGGCCCGTGAGGCCCGCCGTCCGTGCTGCTTCTTGCTCCTCAACCTGCTCCTCTTCGTCAAACTCCAAGCCGCGCTCGCTCCTGATGCGCTCAATCTCCTCACGCAACTGCTGGGATGGAGCCTCACCGAACTTCGCGGACTGCTTGAACAAACCTTTGAGCACCCGGAACTGCCTGCTCACCTGGCTCCTCCTCCGGTCGCGGTTGGTGCCCTTCTTGCTCCTCCAAGGTGTCGCGCATGCGAGGGCTTACCTTTGCCCTTCGCCTTGCTCTTGTCCTTTCCGGCTGTGCCAGCCGGCTGGTGGTCCGGACTCCGGGGCCTAGCTCTGCTGCTGATAGCCTCCGGATGCTGCTCTCACTTGCTAGGTGGCTCCTCCGGAGCTGGCTCGTCTCGACCAGTCCGGTGATGTGGGAGCCCCTCCGGCTCCTCCTCTGCCCTTTCTTCGGCCGGTTCCTCTGCGGCTTCCTCTTCTGGAGCCCTTCTTCAGCCGCTGGAGCCTGCCAGGGGCCCTTCCCGGCTGAAGCTCCTCTGTGCCAGGGAGGAACCTCCCTGGTCCTGGACCTCCCGCAGTCCTTGGCGCCCTTGGCAACCTTCGCGCCTTTCGACGGTGAACTGAAGTACCAAATGCTTCTTCTGCCTGGATCAGCACCGGTTCCCGCTACCATGAAAAGTATCTTACTCAGCTCTACAAAACACAGAGTCGCACAACCTGTACAAGTGTATTGGGCATATATGGAGCAACAATTTGTCACATACCCAAGTTAACCAAACAAACACTGGAGGCTTAGAGTCTCCTCGGCCGCTGCTTCGATCCTCTTGAGGATGGAGTGCTGGGAGATGGACTGGATGCCAATTCCTTCGGTCAAGACTTTAACCTTGCTCCCACAAACATAGCGCCTTTGGCAGGGGCACCTGGAAAATTAGTTTCCCTTGGAAGGGACCACTGCGATCAGCGAAAAGGCTTGGGAGATACTAACATCTTCATAATATGCCTTACAACCTGGGGAAGGCGTCCTCTCGCCCCCCCCCCCCCCCACCCCAAAAAAAACAGCACGCACAAGAAAGCAAGCAAACAAACAAACGACAAACACGCAATCGCCTTAACCCTGCCGAACATCCCCTCTCTGCACCCCCCCCTCCCAAATCTCCCGCCTTTCACCGTGGCGCCCACGCCCATGGCGGCGCCCCGGCGGGTGGTGGGGTCCGTCTTGGGCGCCAGTGCCACCTCCAGGAGCTGGTCCAAAGTCTCAGCTGCTTGCTCCTGACGCATCTGACGACCCTGGCTTAGTTGTGTGAAAGTAGATGGCACCCCCCCCATGTTGGTCTAGTCATGCCCTTCACCTGCCCACACAAGGGGAGATGTGCCATCTATGGCTTCACCCTGATGCAATCAATCTGATGGCTTATCGTGTTCCTCGCAGATAGGACGCCCCCCATCAATCAACCAGGGGCTGACTATTCCGGGCAGCTAGCCCAGCCCAAGCCCAGCTCCTTGTTTTGCTTCATCAAGGGCGGCATCACCTGGCCATGCTCCCTAACCAATTTATGGGTACTAGATTCATGGGGTCTAGATTTGGGGGGTTTTTGGCTATCTCGAATTATCTCGAATTATCTCGATAATTATCTCGAAGATGTAGGTCAGGTTGAAAGCAACTTGCATGTTTGGGATTTGTTTCTGCATTTTTTGTCATTTGTATGATGTGTGTCTTCATGAATGCCGTGCAATTTTGTTGATTTTGCATTTGCATTTTGTAAATATTTGTTCTAATGCTGACGCATGATGGTCGGTCATTGTTGTGTTTTTTACTGATCTTAAACCTGATTGCATCGGCTCGTAGCAATCAGGGGGCGGTGATGATGTCAAACGGTGTGTTTGTCGCGTTGCCTTCAGCTTCACCAATTTCAATCAATGATGTCCCGAATATATCGTCAACCGAAATCCCTTCTGATCCAACGCATGGTGGAAGATGCGTATTACTACATGTCAAGAGACGGCAAGGTGACGTCCCGTGGGACGCTATGCACCGAACCCTCAAGCTGTAATACCAACCACGTAGAAAGGTGTATACGGACGATGCCGTTATAGCCGAACCCGTGTAAACGTTGTAAGGGAGAAGGAATGATAGTTACAACAGTGGTCCTGACAAATGCAGCGCAAGCGAAGTGTTTTCGCTCTCAATGCCGATCACGTATGTATGCAGTCACACATCAGATCTTGAACCTCAATTGTGTCTTGAGCCAAATGGCGATCAATGGAACTTGGGAAGCAACACCAACAAGGACCTCAGAACAGCTACCCAATTTCGGCACGGGGCCTAGAGGGTTTTAACATCCCCCATTTGGGTCGCATTGTTCATCATGCGGTCCAAACACCACAAAACGTTCCACTGGCCACGGCTTCAACTACGAAATCGTGTCGTGCATTCTTTTACTTGCTATCACTACACCGTTCATTCGCTGTGAAACATGCCGGGTTCGATTGTACGAAAAGTGAAACATTCATCCTCCAATCGAAGCACACATCCATATGCAGGTGTATATAATACACAATCGTCGCGTCATTTGACCACCAATGAACAATCCAGCTGCCGCATTTGCGCATCGCGCAGCTGTCATCCATAAATGGGTTGGCCGAAAAAAGTCCACCAGAGGCGCCTGCTCGCAATCGGTCTGCATAATTCCGGCAAAGAAACATCGGTGAGTAATCAATGCAAATCATAGCCATTCCAGATACCATGGACAATGCATAAATAATGAAAAGATATCATCTATAAGGTAATAGTTCCATCCATGAATATCCAGAGCGTCATAGTCATCGGAATATGTAACCATGTACACATCCATTCAACTTGGATATATGAAATCATATCATAATGTAAGTCGTTCCGTCGCAATGGTGTTGATGAGACGCAAGCAACAGATGGGGACTAACCCACATCGTGCCGCAATCAGCATCTTCACTACGCATACCGGTCCCCAATGGACAGTCTGTGAGTGCGTCGACGGAACTCCTCGTCCAAGTTCTTCTGGGCTTCTCGTGCCCGGACACACTTCTTGTTGTAGTCCTCTGGCAACCAGTGCCCTTTCCGAAGGCACCAATCCAGCAGGGGTGTGTCGCATTTGTTCGGGTCGACGGCCGAGATGATGGCGCTCACGTTGACCGTGTAACCATGTTTGCCAAGGTTCAGGCCATCCCTCACGAATGATATATACTTACAGTTGAAAGCTAGTGCAAAACATCTGAAAATAATATCACCCACCGGGTGCACTCGGTCCTTGACCAGGAGCTTCATTTCTTCCTTGGTGACATCGAGGATTCTCGCTGCAATCCACAGCTTGTAGAATGTGTAAAGTCCCTCGCATTTGCACACCATCATACGAATATATTCGTCACGCTCCTCAACCGATCGGAAGGCTCTTGTCCGAACATTCTCCGACTGAGAAATCTTCGTTATTGTTGATGGCAATAGTATACCTTCCTGATCGTGCTCAGTGATGTTGGGGTACCTCTTGAAATCATTGTGGTAAGGGCAGCCCTCTCTCCCCTCGAGCTTGGCATTCATCGTTCTCTCCTCACCACCCTCGAACATCCCCCACATCTTGGACATCTGGAGTGCGATAAATCCTGCCATGTACTGAGCCTCACGCGGCTCGTCAAGGCAGATCGCCATCCGTTGGGAACTTATAATGTCCCGTGACGCCAGATCGGTGTCGCGGTAATGCCAACCGCTGTCTTCTTCTTCTGACGCATAGCCGGATGTATATCCTTGCGTGTCCATGTCGTCATCTTCTCCCGGAACTTCCTCCGCTTCGTCTTCATCCTCCTGTGCTGCCGCATCGTGGTTAGCTTCTTCCTGTGCACGCCTGGCATCTCCAGAGACGTTGGGGTTTTGGTTGTCCTCCTCGTCATCGGATTTGATGTGAATGTAATACCTTCCGATGGAGATCAGTTGTGCTTCGCATTCCAGGCATAAGCAGAAGCAGGTGGGGATCGCGGTCGCACATGATGGACATATCCGGCACCTCAGTCCTTCCCATGTCTCGTCATTCAGGATGACGACTTTGCTGATTTCGTCCCGGACCTCGTTGACCTGTGCATTGAACTCTTCCATCTTGTTGATTCGATAGAGTTCGCAGGCACGATTAACCATGTCAACGATGTAGTGCAGATTATCGGCACCTGTCTCAGTCTCCGGCATCCTCTCGCTGATCTTTGCGACGTTCTGGAGGAACATCGCAGCCGACTCTTGGGAAGAGTTGACAAAGCCAGGGCAGATCTCGTTCTCCACACACTTCGAGTACGCCCTCTTGATGTCAGCGTACTCCAGGCGCTTCCCTCCGTTGCTTTTGCCAATCCAAATGGACTTGACCTCATAGAACGGGATCACGTCAAAGACCATGAAAGTCCCATTAGCCGCGACTCCAGCCCCATACCGCGCGAGGGTTGCACTGGGAATATAGATGATCGCAATCGGATCCCCTCTCCTCACGTTCCGTAGCGTTGTCTTCGTCGCCACGTTCATCTCATCCCATGGAGCAAACGCCCCGAAGTGCAGTGCTAGCCTGTTGCCGCCATCGATTCCGCCGGGGACTAACCCACAGCGTACGATGCTTGGCAGGTTTTCCACATACGTCACATGGAATGCTCCTCCGAGAGAATCACCCATTCTTGCGGAATACCTATTCGCCAGTGCGGATGAGCTCATGAATCCAAAATCACTGTGACCGGTTGTGACTCGGATGCACCAAGGTCTGTACCATCCATCGCATCTGTTGAACATCCTGTCGATGTCGTCCCGATCCACGCCAGCTTCGGTCATTTCCTCCCTGGCTGCCCTCGTGTCGTTCGGGTTCATGATGCTCGGAAACCTTGCTGCCAAAACCTGGAATCTCGATTTTCTGCTTCCGGATTCCTGCCACTTGATCACCTCCATGATGCCCATGTATCGTTTCGCTCTCGTGGTGTATGGTGGGAATATGTCGTTGTTCCGGTCGTCAATGACAGCATCAATGTCGACCCATCCACCCTCGTCGCACCTGAAAGCACTTCCTCGGCAATTGCCGATCTTGTGTCGAAGGACTCTGCATAGGTCGTGAGATAGCTGGTTTGCTTGGTCCCTTGTAGTAAATACCGAGCGATCATCACCAATCCTGCATAGTGGAGCACCGTCGAAAGGAGCAATGCAGAAGTTGACACTCTTGCCAAGTTGCATCACGTCCACTTGCTCAAGGATTGCACCTTTGGGAAAGTATTTGGGGTCAACGATGGACGCATACGCCCATGGCAAGTGCACATCACTCACATCGCCATACTTCGGGATGTAGCACGGGATGGTGTCGCATCCCATCTCAAGCGTCTTCTTGAATGTCCTGTTGTCCCCGCACGGGTTGTAGGTGAGGTCGACGCCACCACATTGTAGCTCTCCTCCCTCAGCCGTGTCAGCCATCTCCACCAAATTAATGGTGTAGCTGTACATCTCAATTGTTTCTTTCCCTGCTTGTCCCCCTTTCTTTCTTTCCTTGGACGTTGATGAGGACGGTTCCTCCGTATCCCCCATGTCTTCATCAGATGAAACAGGGTCACTGCTGAGTAGCTCACGGAGCACCTTCATCGCCTTCTCATTTCCAGCAGCCTCCTCAATGTCCTTGCAGTCGCCGTCGTGGGCCAGGTTCGCGCACTTCTTACAGATCCCCATATCTCCCATGCACTTCTCCATTGACTCCAGGAATCCTAGTGCCGCTCTCCGCCCGTCGATCACTCGCTGCTTCTTGTCTTCCTTCTCAGCATTGGTTTGAGAACTTCGACTCGGGTCTGGTGCTTGACCAAGACCCTCATCTTCGCCCTCCGTGGCCTTTCTCTTGGAACCTTGTGCAGAGGGCTCGGTGATCAGGGATCGTGGATGTCTGGGCTTGACCTTGTTCATGATGTCAAGCACCTCCTTCGTGGGCACGCCGAGCTGTGCGGACGGTCTGTTCCGCTTTCTGTTCTGGCCCGTCGTGTGGGTCACGTTCCCAGCGAGGTGTCGCACTATTGACTGCTCGAACTCCCTCTTGATCTTCCATGCATCCTTCCACAGTGGCAGTTCGTGCTGGAAGTACGACATCACCTCAAAGAATCCCAACACCATCTCGACGACGTCTCCCAAGGATTCCTCGTTCGTGGTTTGTCCCAGGAGTTCATACATCGTTCCTTGGTCGAGCACACTCTTGATCCAGGACGAATATGCCACATTGCCAAGATCCTTGCCTATCAAGAAGATGGACATCCTCTCCTCGACTCCCTCGGAATTCTTGCACACGATCACATCCCGGGATGCGCACAATTGCTTCCCGTGACCGTTGTTGTAGAACTGCGCTGCTTGATCCACAGTCATGCTCACGAATCCCACGTGAGAAAGCTCCTTCTTCAGCCTTGAATACACGAGCTCCCGTATGATCGTGATCATGGCCTGGATATTGTTGACGTCCACCATGAGGTTTTGAAGGTCGGGGATTGCCACCACGCATTCCGCGAAGAGGCG